GGCTATGGTGCGAATGTGTGCTGCTCTCGTCGCGAAGTACGTTTCATGGTCTAGAATGAAGATCCTATCCCCTTCTTCTAGGCAAGCCTCCGGATCGCTGGGCTCCTCATGATCGGCATCAATATCTATTAATCGGGCTGCGTATTTGCAGGTAATCGGGCACCGATCAAACTGAATGATTTGCTCTTGCCAATCGATAGATGGGTTATGAATCTGTAACCACTCGTATCCAAGGAAGATTGGAGTCTTCCCTAGATTGGTAACTGCGAAAGGAAGTCGCTCTACATGGTTCTGAATTTCCACCCTTAACTCAACGAAGTCTGTGATAGCGCCGCCGGCATTATGCGTGCCATCTGCATTATAGACAGGGACCGGTGATGGCAGTTTCTTTGTAGCGATGTTGTTATCGCGGACAAACTGCGCATCAATTGAAGATCCAGTGCATCCTGTGTCTAATAGCGCTTTGACAGATAAGCGCTGCTGCGTGTCCAGGGTGGTTATGATCATTGGGACATCCATTTGTGTCCCCTTCCTTCCTCGGATAAACCGGGGTTGCTTTCTCAATTCATTTAAGAAGTCTATGGCTTCTTCTTCTTTCATCTGCCTGATTTGGTTCATACAGGCTTCGGAGGCATCGACACTCTTCTTTGAGTGTACCCATTTGGTCAGCAATCTAAGCGCCGAGGCTTCTTCGCTGATTATCCATTGGCGGATCCAAGCCGCTGTCCAAGGTGTATGGCGCTGCCATTGCGTAGATTCGGTCTGATGTTCTGGTGTAGGCAATAATTTTTTATTCGGGGGAATTAAGCAAGAGGGTTGTGCCTCTCCGCGCCGCTCTGCGGACGCCCCTTTTTGTGGTATATACATAGGTACACCGAACCAGGAACACAGATAGTTCATGAAATTCTTTTCGGTCAACTCGGCTACGCACCCGGCTGACCGCTTGCAAAACCCTTCATGGCCGCACGAATTTCTTCGTGAATTGCCTTCTTCCAGTCGAATGGTTCTGCCGTCGCGGCAGGAGCTTCGTTCAATGATGCGAGGGGTGTGAACGTGTTGGTGGTGGTGACTGCCGGGGTTTCCGCAGCTCGCACTTGTTGAGCTTGTTGCCGATTAGGGCAATTCCGTGATATGTGACCCTGTTGGCCACATCGGAAACAAAGACCCTGGCGTCGTGCTTGATCTAAATCCATCGGTTGTCCCCTTCCGCCGAATGTGACACCTGTCCCGTCGCGACGTGTCTGGACCGGGGCGTTTGCAGTAGGCGCGGCTACGCTAGCCTGTGCTCGTGGTGCACCTTGTGTCTGCTGCTGCCGAGGTTGGAATTGTCCTTGCCGCTGGGACTGTGGGTTTCGCCGACGATATTGCTGCTGATTTAGGTCGATGCGCGCGACCCGTTGTTTGTAGAGCGCGTATGTGGCAGGGAGTTCTTCCGATGAATTGTACAGAAGCCGAATGATATCGGCCCTGAGTGCCTTTTCTAGAAACGATTTCAACTCCTGGAAATGTGCCTCAAAGTCATGAATGTTTGCCTGGAAGGCGCATAATTCAAACTTTGAGAAGAACTCCTGCGCTGACAGCGCTCCCATCTGCATCGCCTGTAAACGGTCATAGGCTTTGGCTTGCTCGTCGATTAGGAAGTGCCTGTCTAGGTCTTCCCATAGTGTCTTGGTAGTCTGTATCACGGAGTCTTCGTCCGCGTCGTATTTCTTCATGAATGTGGCGACATATTCGCCCGCGTGTCCACCTTTCATGTACGACAGAATCATAAGGACTCTGTCGAATTGCTCTGGTAGCCGCTTCCTCTGCGTAACTACATAGAGTTTCATTTGGGTCTTCCAAGCAATGTACTTGGATTTCGTGCCGTCAAAGGCGTCTGGCTTCATCGCGCTTCCATTGAGGAGCGCGGCGCTATCTTGGTTCTCGGCCATCGCGCCGGGATCGGATGGGGACGAAGGTGGAGTGGGAGAGCGTCGGGAAGGTGGTTCCGAGGCTTCTGAATCTTCCACCGCTTCTTCTACGGGGTTTGGCGGGCCCTCTGGTGGAGCTTCGGATTCTCCGAGGGCAATTGAGCGAAGGTGGTCAGTGACCGATTCGAGAGTATCCCGTCTGGTTCTGGGTTCTGAACCGGATGCTACGGATTGTGGGACTGCGAAGGACTCGGAAGGTGCTCCTGTGGGAACTCTTTGTAGCAATTCTCCACGTAATCCTTCTCTACACCGGGAACAACGAGTACTATTATCTGAAGAGTGTGGACACGGTTGTTGTACGCAGTATCTTACGTTATCGCCGTGTAGATAGATGGATGTTCCGTCTAGTTCTCGGTGTACGTGTCCTCTACAATCACAGGAGGGCGTGGTCATAGGGTGTCGGGTCCGTGAAGCTTGTCTTGCAGCAACTCTGGGACCAATCGTGTTGGAACGACCAGATCAGAGGTAGAATTTGCCAAGATAGGGAATTGGTTGGTGTATATACGGAACTTCGAATTTTACAGTTCTACGATATAGTTCAAAGCCCCAAGAGAGCAATTATGTCTCTCTCGGTCCGACGCCCGGGGTAGGGATCGCCGATACGAAGCTTTGTCTCTTTTCCGACGCCCAGCCTCAGCCGGTTGCCACGTCGTACTCAGGATAACCGTGTGCACTGCGCAACACGTTTAGCGCCAGCTATGGTAGGCCGGGGCACGAATCCAATACAAACACGACCTGGTCGAGCTCCAACGAAGCAAGGGATTACCAGGGATCGGATAGGGAAGTGGTTATGTGCAAGTGCACGAAAAAGGGTTCCCGGGGTCTTGATGCGGTAGAGTCGATAGGGTTAGGATTGGGGTGAGATTTCGGTTTAGATAAATGAGATGGATCGTCGTGTGGAGCTAGGTGATGGTTGGTGTGAGAGTGACGAGGATCGTCGTAGGGCAGTTGGTGGAGACTCGAGCTAATGTCAGCAACTAACAATCCAACTGGACTGAGCTACGACAAAGCTGAGGAGACAGACGAGAGGAGAGTGAGTGAGGAAAGACCAGCTCGAGTCTGGCTTGTTATTGAGCAGTACAGGCTCCTTATATACATGTCAGACTGAATACCTAGAATATCCTACAAATATACGGAGGTGTATAGAAAGTGAAAGAATACCATGGAATCCGGGAGAACCATCCGGATTGTGTAATATTCATGACACCACGGTGGGGCATAGTCATAATGCAGACAGTAGCGTAGGCAGAAGAAGTAAGAAGTACTTAATCTGGCACGTCGTATATCTCTCGTACTATCTCTCGTACTATCTCTCGTACTGTTGAGATATGACCAAAAGTTCAGGTCACGGTCATGGGGCCTCTGAACAGGCCGAGGTTGAACTGGTGGTCACGGTCACAATAAGCTGTTGCGAATCCGTGACTCCGGCGCTTTTCAATATATTCAGTATTTTTGCTCGAATTTCCGCTTTGTCCTCAGGTACGCAGTGTGCGGGCGAGGGGCGCGAGAACCCTTCTTAAGCTCAGCTTAGAGTTCAGCCCAGTACGCATGTGCTTCCGACGGCGGCCTTGCCTGATGTGGCCCGCGCCCGCCTAGTCACGGTTCGGTCACTGAATCGAGGTCACGGTCACGAAGGCCTGGCCTGTTGGTCGTATTGCTACATTGCTACAGTATCTTTAACCAGACGGCCTGAAAGTAAGTAACCGGTTCCTTACTGTTTGTTAACCCCTTACACGCCTTGTTCCCAGCCTTGCCCTCTATATATCCAGCGCTACATGCCCCTGATCGACCACCTGTTACTTCCGCTTACCCCACCCACTCCAATCGTTTCAGCCTGCAGCTAGGGCGCTACGCTGGCCGTCTCTGCCTGACGAGCCGCCGCAGGCGGCGAGAACCAGAAGGTCGCTTACGGACTCGATAGCTAAACACATATGTAAATATACATTTTCGGGAGCCTCACGAGAATGCTACCTGGGTACTGGCCAAGCAATCACCAACCACGATGACGCCAGCCTCGAGAACAGCCGCCACGAAAACAGCTGCCGCGACAAATTAATCGCGTAGCGGAGCGAAGCCATAGATTGTTCTTAGTCAGCGACAAAGACTGGCGACGATGTCCACGATCGATTCCCACAGTTACGCATTTTTTCATGATAGATTCAGCGCTTCTTTACAGATCTTGCTCGATCCACTATCCCCACGGGGTCCCCACGGGGTACCTTTACAGCAGCAGGGAATATTTAGAGCTCTTGTTTAATCGTTGAAACCATCCAGTTCTGCGAGTGTAGTCTATTTTACTGCCCCTTCTAATTTCTCGTATTGTTCATCGATATTCTAAAACTTACAGACGCCTGGAAACCCACAGGGACTCGTAAGTGGTCGTCCTCCGACTACGGATCTTGTCACGGCCCAACTGTTCAGGCATCTGCATCAGACGCGGCGAACTGCAGATATTCCGAGCCGGTGTGCATCCGTAGGCATCGGTGCTCGGACGGATTGCAATTCGTGCGATGCTAGCTTGAGAAATTCTTGCTGCGTACGGTCATAAGATTGGCTCTGCTGGCTGAATGTATTTCAGGGACAGGGAAGTCTCACCGCGGATGGCCGCTGGACGAAAGCGATGCTTAGTAGAGCTCGCGGCCCTCACGGCGTACAACCTCATCACGAGCTGGTTTACACGGGCGTAGAGGGAACGCATGAACCGAGTCTTCCCCAGACGGCACTGGCACGGAATCCACGAACTGGGCGCTGTATTCCCACCACTTGTGGGTCCAACCACCTCGGGATAGTATGTGTGCTTCTCGTCTTCCTAGTGTGCCGTGACGCATTAAAACCCGCACCAATGACAGGTGTTTGACAATAATACAAGCTCAAGCCGTGCGCGGCGTCGCAATATTGCTAGCGGTATTCTCTCCAGGTGTGCCTGCGGAGCGCGTGGGCCCCAATATCTCGGCGTAAGATGGCCCTGGATGTCTTGATCTGGATGCTCACCTGAGATTTGGGCCGCTCCTATATCAGGGATGCAGGGTCTTATGCACAGAGCAGCCCTTTTGCACCGATAAGCTGTCCTACCCCACCTCTGCGGGCATGTTGCGCACGGACCAAGCACCTATGGAGTCCGCCGACCATGCGAAGAGGAAAGCTCTGACCAGGAAAGTCCTTTGGAAACTGGATACTCATGTGCTCCCTGCGCTAGCTTTCGTATGTAACCTCCGCTTGCCCTGCTCGCTTGTTCTCACGACACGCGGCCCCTCAGCTGTGGTTGGCCAACTTTATCGACCGGTCGAACATTGGCAACGCCAGGTATGTTTAAACGGTTAACGACTACAAGAGCGTTGATTGACTGTCGTTTGCCAGCATTGCCGGCCTACAGACAGATCTCCACCTGCACGGTAATCAATACAACACCGCGCTTGCAAGTACGTAGATCAGACTTTCGTGTTGCGCTAACACTCATTGGGGTCGTACAGTCTTCTTTGTCTCGTGAGCAGTATCTGCGACATCGAGCTATGTCCTACTGATATCTGGTCAGATACATCATTGTTGAAGTCCGTGAGTGGCTCGTGCCTTACCTATTCTTATCACGCTAAGGTGCCCACCAGCCTCAAACTGGGTTTTGAAGAAGATCAAGCCAAGTAGATGGCTGCCGTTCATTGTTGCCATATGGGGTGTAGTCACGACAATGACGGGCGTGATCCAGAATTTCTCTGGTCTTGTGGCCATCCGTTTCTTCCTTGGGATGTGCGAAGGCGGTCTTCTTCCCGGCATTGTTCGTACGGTCCTGTTCTCTAACCCGGCCATTGCCTGACACCAGTATGTGTTTTTAGGTCCTCTATCTCAGCACGTTATATCGGCCGCATGAGTTGCAGCAGCGGTCTGTTGTGTTATAAGCTTTATTCCAGGCGGTGTGCCAATGAACATGTCTTTACAGGGTTGGCATATTCTATGCATCAGCATCCCTTTCTGGTGCTTTCGGAGGTAACTATGTCTACTATATGATTAGCGTATCTCCTTGACTAACTTCCGTTTTATTTATCCAGGTCTACTCGCATCTGCCATCCTCAAGATGGATGGCGTGGGCGGTCTCGCGGGCTGGCGCTGGATATTTATCCTTGAGGGGATCGCAACCGTCTTGATTGCTATTTTTTCATGGGCGACCATGCCTGCCGACCTCTCATCTGCGAAGTTCTTCACAGATGAAGAGAGGGAGTTCGCCCGTGAGCAGTCTCACTTGTACGCGTGGTGTGATGCTGATGTCACGCAGTCTGGCGATTCCGCGAGGCGCACTCCGTCGTCACTGGTGCACCCCTGTCTGAGCCTGCACAGAAGATCAACACAGAAGGCGATGGCGATATAGATGCAGAGAAGGAGGGCGAGGTCCGTATTGAGAGCCAACCACCCCAACCTGTCGCCGTTCACCAAGAAGATGAGCTGTTCGAATGGAGGGAGGTAATGCGAGCTGTGCTGGACGTCCAAGTCTGGTTAACGGCGTTCGCATACATGGGGATCATTGTCAGTCTGTACAGCTACTCGCTGTTCATGTGAGTTTGGTTCCATCTTTGTGCGTGTCATGCTCCACCTGAGACTCGCACGCGCAGCCCAACCATCGTTGCTGGCCTCGGTTACACAGGAGAAGAAGCGCAGCTTCATACAGGTATATACTAATTGGTCTTATACATGACCATGATGCCTAACGGAGTCTTTAAGTGCCCCCATACGTGCCTGCTGTCGTTTTCACTGTAGTAGTAGCGTTTGCCAGCGACAGGGTGAAAATGCGTGGACCTTTCATGCTGTTTTTCCTTCCCATTGCAGCAGCCGGTGAGTAGAAATTCTCGGATTCGGTTCCAATTACGGTTTCTCACTCAAAGCATCAAGGATATATCCTGGCTATCGTCGCAAAGGCGAGTGTCCATGACAAGTGCGCGTGGGCTGTTGAATACTGCGCTAACCGAGGGACTTGATCGCAGACGAATCTGCAACGATATGTCGCCGGTACGTAAACTCAGTGACAGCCTGCTCAACTACACCGCTAACAACCGTACGTGGCTTACAGTGCATCTTATTGCCACTGGAATGTAAGTCTCAGACGAACCGCTGAATAATTCGTCACGAATTTCATGCCCTTCCCAGCTACCCTTGCGGACCATGTATCCTGTCTATTCTTCCGAATAATTGCGCTGGACACTACAAGAAGGCTACAGCGGTGGCATTGCAACTCGCCATCGCCAACTGCGGGTAATTACTAGTTCTTTCTCCATTTGGGCATGCTCGCTCACTGCTTGCGTGTAGCGGGTTCGTCGCGACTTTCGCGTACACCTCCGGTAAGGCATGGCGTATGCTGCGTCAGTGCTTGTCGCTAACTCGAAGTGCTTTACTTTTCGCTTCGCAGACCAAGCACCCCAGTACAAGACCGGACACAGTATCGTGCTCGGCTTTGTCGTGGCCGCCTGGGTCTTTGTGGCGCTCAACGTGTGAGCATCGAATCGGGATATTTCAGCTCTTCTAATTCAGCTAACAACATCCGCAGGATATACTGCATGTGGGAGAACAAAGCTCGTGCCGACGGCCGCCGTGACGGGCAGATTGAGAAGTATCAGGAGCTGTGGGACACCGGCAAGACGAGGGCGCCTATCGGCGACCGTTCACCATCGTTCCGGTTCATTCTGTGACCTGTGGTCCCGCGTTGCACTCATTGTATTATCACGCTCCCATGACATCATGCATTTTGGCTTGTGGCAACGAGAGAGTCATGCTCAATAGCGAGCTTCACTTGAACCATCGTTCTGCCGAATGTAAAGCCGAAATGGCATTGGGATGACTATGCGATACATGCGAGCACTGAACGAATCAATGGGTGAGTATGAGTGAGGATGTGAGGATGGGATCGTCAAAGTCATGAGGAAAACGCGAAATAATTTATCAGAATAATAAATCAATGAGCGATAATGGAATCAGACATAGAATCTGTAGCTCCTCGTAAGCACCACAGAACGTAGAAGAGGTGCGAAGAAACTCACTTCTTATTGATCTGCCAGAGAAGCAGGTTGAGGTTGAACTTGGCAAGACCGTTGAACAGAGTGAACGATGCTTTGTTTTCATACTGGGCCTGAAGCAGTTCCTCCATCTTGACATCGGCATAAGCAATTCGGTTGGTGAAGCCGAGGGTGGTGTTGAAGATCTCGATGGCGAAGACGCCGACGTTGTTAGATGATAGTACGATGTCGAGCTTGTCGAATTGGCGAGGTGAGTATTGGTCGATAGAGAGCAGAATGCCCTTCTCGTAAAAATGCTGGGCGCTGTATTTATAGGAGCCAAACTGGGGAGTCTTGCCCGACTTCTGCAAGTCACGCATATGGAAGAATTGCTTAGTGAAGGGCAGAACAAATCGCTTCTTCCTGTGCATGGGGTCAGAAAAGCCTTACGATACGATGCAGAAACGCACCCTTTGCCTCGCTGCATAGTCTGCATTGCAGCCTCGACATAGTTGTGATAGCTATCGATCTGCTCCTCGTAGTGCTTCTTGCGCACCCCAAGATCCTTGAGTGCCCCTTCCATGCTATCCTTCTCATGCTGACGCTGTATCCGGCGGCGGTTCTTGCTACGCACATCGCCTGCGATGGCATTTAGAACGCCTTGATACCCATCCGCACGTGATATCAACTCTCGCTTCTCGAGCTCGAGGAGATAGAAAATAGCATGGGCCTTGACTTCTCGGAACGTCATTCTATGGCGGCGTAATGTCAGGGCCATGCTCAAGTGAAGGAAAAACACGAAGTCTCACGCTCGAATATCCTCCAGGCGGTAGGCATCGTCAGCAGGGGTCGTCGACGGCATTCGGCGCTGTTGCTTGTGCTGCTCTTTGTCCATCTCTTCGAGAATAGCTTCCCAAACCAGCTCGTGCTCGTCGGTCACGGGGTGCATCAGAGATTCGACCAAATCTTTGGCTGGCTGCACTCGCAGAATGGCCAGAACGGCTCGTTTGGCCTGCATCCAGATCGCTTTCTCGTCTGCGCTTGGGTCTAGGCCTTTTTGAGTAGGGGTGACAGCAGCGAACGCCTATGTTTCACACCTTTGACATGAGCGAAGCGATTTGTCAGCTGCAGTTCGATGGCAGCATCACGCGCATCATGCAATTCATCGTTGCCGAGGTGCGGCACACCATCCAACTCCTGCAGGATGACGCGCAGCGTATCTTCGCGCCCAGGAGCCTGCGCGTATGTCAGAAAGATGTTGGTTGAGATACCATGAATATCACGCACCAGCTCATCCAAATGTTGTGACAGAATTGTATGCATACCGTACACTTCATTTGGCGAAATGAAAATTGATTTGGGCTGAACCGTTGCATCTAAAAACTCGTGGGCATGATACTGGGTCTCGGCATCGGGAACATTTGAAACTGCAAACGGGTGAGCTGCTATGATAATTAACCATCGTAGAGGACATACCTTCAAATAACCACGAAGTCATCTGCTGGATTGCGTTCCTGACGTAATCATTTACAGGAATGTAGTGCGGATTGTCATCGCCGAACTCGAGGCCATTAGTGATCTGGGTAAGCATTCGAGAGACTTGAGCCAAATTCTTCCGCGTCTCAACATTGATTGTCTCTGAAACGATGTCAAAAGTCTCTGGCGTCCTATATACGAGCGGTAAGAGATAATTGAGTCGAGTTCAGTCAATGAACTTACATTATAGCCGGATTGATGTAACGATAGTACACCAGTCGCGCAACACAAGCGGCATACACTTCGTCAGGCGCGTCGGGGAACCGTTCCTATATGCGAACAATCAGTCACACAAGGCATTGGTTGTTGTATTATAGACGTACTTTCAATAGAATGAGCGTTTCGCGAGCAAGATACCGCATACCATATGGCATCCGGGCAGTTGATTGAGTCAAGGCCGTGACGAAGAGTTCAGTCCACCATTGAAGCAGTTGCAGGTCTGACGAATTTGATTGAGCAATCGGCTCCCAGGTTGAGATAAAGTGTCATACGTCTGATGTATTCGGCCCGAGTGTCAGGGTCTTGCAGAGCTTCGCGGAACGGGATGTTCTTAGGCAACTCGCTGGGCTGTCCAGATCGAGTCTCAAGCAGATCAATCTTGTTCCGGTAGATCTGATACTACTTTCAGGACAGCTACCAAGATAGTGTATAAATGAACTTGCAATGCTTGGATCCGTTTGGAGATCAATTTCGTTGCCCGACTCCACAAGATTGCGGATTGCGCTTTGGAGAGTTTCACGAACGTAGACCGTCTGCTTGGGTCGGATGTATGGGATGACGAGGCTGACGAACATGGGGTGTCCCTTGATCACGTCCTCGATTTTTGCCGCCGATTTGATTTCATCCTGTATTGCAGTCTAGGGCAACCATCAGCACGGGCCAAAGAACATTCTAATATGATGCGTACCTGGAAGAGCTTCAGGAGCAGATAGTCTTCTCGACGATCCTGTCCATAGCCAAAGAGTGTGAGTGTGACACGCTCGACAAGCTTTCGGTTCTTCTCGAAGCTCCTGTCAGAGGTAATTCGAGTAAAGATCCGCGACAAGTACTCTGGCCTGGTCTGCAGCAGATAGAAGAGCTGCTGGTAAAGCTCGAGCTTCCGCTTCGCAGCATGGTCCAGAGTGCTTGGTCCAGCGAAAGGATCGCCGTGAGCAGCGAGCACAGATGCTCGAGCAGTATGCACTGCAGCGCTGTCAGCCCCGCGCCTCCGAGCCTTCAAGAGCTCCTCAAAGCTCTTGACATTCTGCACGACAAGGGCAATCTTGACATCCAAGTCGTCTACCTCAGCTTCGAGCGCTTGATTCGCGCGGATGCGCTTGACGACCTCTTGACGGAGGCGCTCTACCTTCAGCTCCTCTTGGAAGTCCGCCTCGGAGTTGTCGAGAAGGTGGACGAAGTTCTTGATGGTGTCCACCGTGACGTTCGTGCCCATGGTGAGCTGACGGTATTGCTCACGGGTCTCCTTCGCGCGGAAGAGCGACTGGATCTGGATGACCTTGTTCAAGTTCTCGCGATAGTGCCGCATCTTGGCATGAAACTTGCGCCGCCGCATGACGCCGCGCAGCATAGCCTGCAAGATTGTAGCAGCAGGGTAGCTTTGGTGAAGATAATCACGCCAAGCGTAATAATCCATGCGAACCAAGACGCCCCGTAAATGGGACTGGATGCCAACGACGTCGGGCTCAACGAATTCCAGCTGCTTGCACTGTTCCTCATGCTTCTTGCGAGCCAAAGCGGCGCGTGCAAGGGCCTGCAAACCGCCAACAGCTTTAATGACCGTGACCTGAGACATGGCCTTCCTCATCGCCTTGTGCTTTCTACGGACGAGGCACCCGCGTGCAACAGCTTGGAAGGCGATAACGGATGGAGTGACCTTCCGTAGACCCCGGATAAGCGTCAAAAGACGCTTTCTTGCAAGGTAGGTACGAACTGCCGCCTGGATGCGCACTACAACGTCGGTGGCGTCGTCCAACTTGGCCAACTGTGCTCCAATGCGGCGTCGGATGAGAACACCCCGCACTTGAGCTTGAAGGGAAATGAAGATATCTTGGAATTGGTCGACGTATGCGAGCTCGTGACCAATCCTTCGCCTCGCCAGCACTCCGCGGGCATGTGCCTGGAGCTGAATGATGGATTTGAAAAGCACGGGGGCGCCAAATGTCTTCTTCACCTCATTGTGTGTCTTCTTAGCCAGTCGAGCACGAGCAAAGGCTTGCAACTGGATGACAGCTGGTTGACAGCTACGCATTGCTTCCAAAAGCTTGCGCAACCTCCGACGCTGGATGATACCTCGTGCTTGAGCCTGAACCTTGACGATGTATTTCACAGAGCCGTTGACCTGTCGCAAATGAGCACGCCAATCTCGGCGAACGAGCACTCCTCGAGCATGTGTTTGGATGGCAATCGCCCAGTCCTCGGAGTTAGCATGCTCCTCTCGTTCTTGATGTAGATGGGAACGAATGAGATGACCTCGTGCCAAAGCTTGCAGCTTGAGAATGTGGCGTTCTGCAAGCTTGATGCGACCTTGCTGGGTGGCTAAGGCCTTCTTGGCAAGAAATCTTCTCGCAACAGACTGGCAAGCGATGACAGAATCCTCGTTTTCACGAAGTAACCGCTCTCGACCTGAGGAGACCCGTCAGAGATAGTCCCATGCAGATAAAACGTCCATGCATACGTTCGTACTCCGTCTCCTCTTCCTCTTCGGGCTCCTCGTTGATCTCTTTCGCAAGCTCACGCTTGACGCCCGCGAAGTTGGGCATGGCCACGCCGGAGTCTTTGAGACCTTTGTGCGTCATCTGTAGCTGATCATCGGAGAATTGCAGCTGGCCAACGAGGTCTCCGATGCGCTGAGCTAGCCCTCGGCGCGCAAGAAGGTGGCTATTAGCACGTCATGTCAGCTTCATTTTCCGACCACGCGCAAAGGGCGACTGACCTGAGCGCATGGATACAATAAATGACCTTCGGGAAGTTTTTCTTTTCGTACAAGTCGGTCAACTCGAAGATGAAGCTCTGGAAGTTGGCACTTAATGATCCGACACGAGCACGAGCACAGCGGAGATCTTACCTCGGGTAGTCCGACGTGCCGCACAAAGTTGAAGAAAATGTTGATGTTATCAGAGTGCCGGAAATCCAGCTTTGGAGCCTAGACCACGAGGTCAAAATACACCACAATTCAGATAAGGGAGCGTACCTCGTATATGCGGCGTACGACACCCTCGCCCTGGAAGACGCGCACAAGCTTGGCCAAGACGACGCCGTCCCTCATACGCTCTTCCATCTCCACAATGTCGAACGAAAGCTCTTCTCCCAGGCATCCCTCGATCCACTGCTTCGCTTCTCCAATGTGACAGAGGTACTCGTACACCTGTAGTAGATGCCGCTGAACGTCTGCCCAAAGGCCTCTCGTCCATCTCGTCGCGGTCTTAGCCTTGGGAAGAGGCGTCGCTGCTGCTGCTGTTGCAACTGCAGCCGTCATGTCTCGCGACAGCCGGAGCCGGCCACGCATGCCTGCGACATCTTCGCCTTCGCCCACGCCAAATGACTGGTCGCGTGGCGTGCGGGGCTCTGTGAAGGACAAGCGGTTGCGTTCGCGAGTTTCGCTTTGTGTGCGCCTCACGCGTTCAGCCCGCCGTAACACGGCTTCCTGAGGTGTAGGATCAGGAGGCCGGTCTTCGTCCTCCTTCTGGTCCTCCTTCTGGTCCTCAAACTCGTCGTTCACCTCCCCGCTGGCGATACGAGGAAGGTGGCGCCCCAGCCTGCGACCGGCAGTCAGATGTTCTGGGAGCCTTGAAGTCCCTCGGCGCATGTATGAGCTTTGATATGGTTTGGGCGACATCGCGGATGAGGCAGAAGTTGACGCGGAGCTCGCGACGGACGAGGAGGCATGTCGTTCTGGAGGTTCCGGGGTCGTGTGCGCAGAGGTGGTTTGTGAACGAGGGCGGATGCCAACGGTGTACTTGTCGGGTGAGGGTGTGGAAGAGTACAAGTTTCCGTATAATGAGCTTGGCCGCCGGTGCACTTTGCTGGTTAATGAGGCGTCTGAGAAAGTCCGAGACGACGTAGATGTGATCGACGAAGATGATGTGGCGTCCGAAGCAGTCGATGAGCCTGTGAGCGTCGGATCGAGAGCGTCAAGGGCGCGGGCGCGGTGGAACTTGGTCGTTGCCGCTGCCGGATCGGGCGCATCATCGTCGCGGAGCGCGTACTGGCTGTACCGTCGCCCGGACGTATCTACCGGAGCAGAAACAGGGAGACGGATGCGGTGGAGTTCGGAAGCAGATGGCGATTCGTCCGGGCTCTCGATCGTGACCCCAGTAGTGTTCGGCGAGAGAGGTGCAGCGATAATCGGCGCAGGCACCGACCACCGTTTCGGTACAGAGGGCGTCGGGACCTCGATGTCTGGTATGCGTCGGCGGGAAGGTGTGCGTGCGAGCAGGTCCGCATAACGCGCTCTGAAGCTCGCATCTGAGCCAGGTGCCAGGCTATCTGTGTCAGCGTCGAGCTTGGCAGACACTGGGGACATGACCTCGTTCTCTGGCACAGCCTCGGTCCTCAACTTCTCAGCCTCAAACTTCCCCCTCACTGCATCCAAACTCTGACCGACGCGATGCGTTGGCGTCCAGCGTCTTGTTCCGGTAGGGTTGGTCAGAATGGTATTGGCGGCCTGCGAGCTCGCTCGGGATAACGAGCCTGCACGCGATGGTGTGCCTTCGAGCAGTCTTCGTTGGTAGGCGGGGAGCGGTGCCCGCTCTGAAGAAGAGGGCTTCTGTCCTCCGGTAAACGAGTGTGTGCGGTCCATGGTCGTAAGAGTCGTGAGGTCGTGAAATGGTTGGGTATTGCGGTATTTGTATGTCAGACCAGAGTCATACACGACGCAAATATGTAGACAAAGTCCAGGAGAGCAGAAATGGAGAGCAGCCGCTTGGACGCGGTCCCAAAGTCGTTCAACACGGTGAAGAGAGAGTCTTGCTCGATGTCAAGTCAGTGCATGGGCGTAGGGCCGCTGAATGGGCGCTTATGATTATCGCACAGCATCCGTTCACGGCAGGCTGGTTTGGGCAACCCAAGAACGAAACCGCATTAATTACTAAAGACGAGTATGAACGTGACACAAATAATTACATTTAGCTGGCCACATGGCCAGTGAAAAGTCATCAAGGTCATACATAGGTATATGTAGAGGCGGAAGCCAAAAAAAAAACTTCCCATCAAAGTCAGGGTATCACAGCCGCGCGGGTGCTTTGGCTTTCCGTCTCTCCCACTCTCGAGCGGCAAGCTTACGGAGCGGGGCCTTGATAATCTTCGCTGAGGGTGTAAGCTCTTCAGGAAACGTATTGAGTCTGGGACCAACATTCACAGCACTGAAACTCACCGAAAGCCTCGTCTTGTATAATAATCATCACGGGGACAGCGAAACGTGGCAACCTTGGGGGGCCACTATGATATGTGCAAGTAATCGCCAGAATATTTGGACTCACTTTGTTCTCGCAAGCGCAAGAAGCTCTGCTTCCTGGACCTGTCCGTGGTATGCTGGCTTCGTCGAGACGACGACAGCAACAAGTTCGCCGAGCCTCTCATCGGGTACGCCTACCGCGGCTACCTCCGCGAGGCGTTCATCGTGGTATAGCGCATCTTCTACAGCTACTGATGCCTGTTGTATGCGGCGGCATAGGCGCAAAAACTACTGATCAGACATGGATTACACTCACAATATTCTCGCCTCCGCGGATGATCATATCTTTGACTGTTCAAAGAATCAGTTAGGTATCTGAAGAGAGAGAAAAACACCTAGCGTACTTCGATCATGGACATACAAGAAACCTTCATCGTCGACACGTCCGAGGTCTCCGGTTCGAATCCATCCATCCTCGGTGATCGTCTTAGCCGTTGCCGCTATAGGAGACGCCCCTCAATACCCGTACAAGCGATGCACAACTGGCGGGAAGGGCGCACCTGCATCACCCCAATAGCCCCTCATGACGTCTGGACCTCGCCTGCTTGGAGAGTCAGCCGCCTCCATGCCCGCGGACCAAGTGAAGGGTTGTCTCACAGCCAAATCTCGCCGATCTCGCCTGTGCGCACGGTGACACCGTCTCGTACCACTATCGCGTCGTTGACTGGACATGGCAGGCCCCTTGTGTGGATGTTAATCTGAGTCCGAGCGCAGCGGCCAGACTAAAGTGCTACCTACACGCTAGTCGGTCGCGCCACGTAGTCTTCTCCCGCAATACCGACAGCAATAGAGTTGGTTTCTGTCATGCCATATGCTTGGCTCCTGCGCATAGTCTCAGGCTGGAAAAAAAATCACGCGAACCGATATAATGGAGGTACCCACAGAACGGTATTGGGGAACGCCGTCTTGGCCTTGTGGGGCAGCACTTGCGGGGCTGGCGCACCGCCAAACAGAAGGGTGTCAAGCGTAAGGCCATCGCTAGCCGCTGCCCTGTCGACTAGATCCGCCACCATGGACGGGACGCTGGCGCTCACTGTTAAGTCCGCGGGGGCGGCTGGATCAAAAACGACGCACCCTCCTGCAACCCTGACGTTCTCCGCCTGGATCAACCTGTCGCCTATGGTAAGACAAAAGTATGATACCCGGGAGACGCAGCCGCACGGACCTAGCCGCTTTACGATCGATGAGCGATGCCGCGGCAATGACTGTGGCGCGCATCAACGCACCTTCAACGGAGTCCCACTTCCGCACCAAAACAATTTTATTCCCTGTAGAAGTGGCAAGCATCTGCGCGAAGGCTGGTTTACGTGGCGCGGTCAGGCTGGGGAAGCACTCACCGAAAGGCTTGTCAAGCCTGTTACGTGGAAGAAGGGTACAGAGACCAGCAGCCCCGATTGCGGACCTGAGGGAGCCACCGATGCGCTGTCCCCTCGCCTAAGTGCTGCACGGCCCGCCGCTGCGGTAGCCTGACATCTGTTTCAGCCGTGTTCGCGAAGATGAATGCATCACGCCCACATTGCGTATATTCGTGAGAAACTGGCGCTGCGTGGACAGAACTCCTTTTGGCAACCCCGTGCTGCAATACGAAGGTTTTGAGAGGGGAACACGTAGGCAGAGAGCCTACAGTGCGTACGTTCCAGAAGTGAATATGACCGTCGCGTTGTCCTCAGGCTGGATGTCGGGGGAGAGAGCAAGAGCGTCGTTCGAGCTGCTCGCGCTGGACCGCATTACAATCTGCCAGAGCTCTATACCTTCCCATTTGGAACTACGGCCCGGGGCGTCAAGAACGACGAATCCATTGGCTCCGCCGTCACGCAGCCTTGGCACCGCGTGGGCGATTCGATCCGCGCGCTCGGTATCGACAAGCACCAGCTTGCAGCCCGTATGACTCAAGCAGTGCACGAGCGGCTCGGCAGGCAGCCAACTGGAGTTAGGTCGAGTGAGTGGATATCTAGTGTGACTGAACCCTACGTACGCATTCACGAGGACAGATACGGCGCCCAGAATCTGACATGCCCAGAAGGCCACAAGGTAGTCTGGAAGATTGCGTGCGCAGATGCCGACTCGATCGCCTTTGCGGATGCCGTACCGCTGATAGAACATAGCAGCCGCCTGTAGAGATCTGCGGTACACCTCGTGGTAGGAAGCCCTCTCGTCGCCGAAGACGATGTAAGTCGAGTTCTTGTACTCCGAGGCAGCCCATAGCCAAAAGCTTCGGAGCGACGGCCAGAGATTCTTGTAGACCCGCTGTACCCTGCCGTCTATTATACGCGTCTCCATCTCGTGGGGCATTCCAGGAGCACAAAGGATCTCGTCGCCTGCGACAGCCTATGAATACGGTGCATGCCAGTTCACTGGGGTGTGTGTACGTACATTCTTCCAGCGTACGCTTTGGTTTCCAGCCCATGTCGTGCAGAGAGTCCGAGATTCAAGGAGATTGGTGTGAGGTGGACGAGCTCTTCCCTGACCAAGGTGCGGTGGTGATATACCAGCGGCGGCCACTTCAGTAGTCTCCGATTCTAGTATTGGGGACCAGATAGGGCTGTTCGGATTTACCTCAGTGGTGTGAGCAAGAGCGCGGTGATGCAACATGTATCGACTCCGTATGGTAGTGGTGTGAGCCCGAGGGCAGCTAGGGACTCGGGAGCTGGGATAGAAGGCCCTGTTCACATAGCGCATGGCTGCATTTCCGTGCCTTGAGGCTCAAGTCCGAGGAGATACGCTCTCTGTCGTTGACCCGGACTGTCAGAGCTTGTCATGTCTTTGACTGGGCGTTGCGCTGCGTCTGATGGAGCCAAATCAGCGAAACGACCACCCTGAGCCGCCGGGCTTCGCGCGGCCTGTAGCGGTGGATTCGGGTCTGCCCTGGGCCTTTCTGCGCCCTGCAGCCGCCTGGGGATGCGGTGAGTGCGCGGATGCCATGCCAGGGTCCGCGTGGGCCCTGAAGATGATATGCAACACACAGTTAAAATGAGTGGGAGAATCCCAGTCCAGCCCGCCGGGTTTCCTTCTTGCCCCTTCCGCATTGGTACATCAGGTGCTGCAAGCGCTCGATACATGCCGGCCGCGAGGCCGCCAATCGGCATCTCGCGCCGCAACGCGCACCTCGAGCTTGTCCTCGAATTCGGCAAGTCGCTCAATGGCCTCCAACCTCGAGTCCCTCGTCTGCTCCCTCGTACCTGGCGCAAGGCACGACCACCGTCTCAGGGACGAGCTCGTCGCACACTGCAATGAAATTGTAAACAGGTAAGTCGCTTCTCGCTCAGTCGCGACCGCGGCATGCGCGTGGCTCGGTACGCGTCCAGAGCAGCAAGCCGTGTCTGAAACCGAACACAGTCATATAGGCCAGAGCAACGAGCCGGATATCGGTCATTTAGCTGACTCTATCAAGCGACATCGTTCGTGCACTCTATTATTCTCTGGATGCTTACTCTGACCCATGTCGCAAGTGCTGCGTACATCTCCGAACGGCGTCCCTGCCTTGAGGTTCTCGAACCTGCTGGCGCGCCTACTTGAGCAGGTGAGTAAGCTCTTGTGCTCCGTAATGACTCATCTTCATCTGCCGTAGCCGGTCCTCTCTAGGAAACATGCCTCACTGTCGTTCCTACACGCCCTGGGAACGACCCCAGCGCCGTCGACGCGGAGTCCTGCGGCTTTGCCCGTCTTGACGCTGCCCCCTCAACCTCGTGCTCCGTCGCGACTCAGAGAAACAGCCCCCACTCCGGCACAGTCTTTGCCAGCTGCCGGGAGGCCGAAAGGCAAATCTAGGGCAGATACCCTCCGGGAATACCGAGCAAAGATAGGTCAGTTTTTGACATTTGTGTGAGATGATGTCCATTAACCTCTCCCTTAGACCGCCAGCACTTACCGGAGAGTGCACTTCTTCGCGACACGCTATACTTGCTGCAAGGCATCTCGGGAAAGCATGTGCAATTCGCGTCGATAAATGACCCCGAATCCAATCAGCTTATTTTCAAAGACGACTCGGTAGGTCCTGCGCATTCAACATGTGTGTCCGTCGGTCTAGTCTCACTGTGTCCTAGCGCCATATTATACCCCCGCCTACAAAGGCATTAATTCATCGCTTGGCTGAAGTCGGCTACCTCTACATTCGAGTAGACTCGTTCGTTCGGGAACGGGAGGGCAAGGCCGGAATTGGGATGATCGAGCAGAGCCTGTGTCACCATTTGCAATCCCAGCTAACCGAGTACTACAGGCTTATCGCGGTCCTCGAATCGCAGATGTCCGCGAACCAGAGTTCCGAGGACATCGCGGAAGGCGAGGCGGCGCCAAGCGTGCGCGAGGAAGAGACTGGCCTTACGTTGAAACGTCTGGATGTATGGATCCAGGAGTGGCGGTTGCGAATGCGGATGATGAGTGTCTGCGTTGAGGGCGCCCAAAGTTCGCCCGCCTCTCATGATCCCCCACGTGCCATCATGCTCATTTCGCTGTACTCCGCAGACACCCACGGTGGGGCTCTGGTGAACCTCATACACGGCTACACTGACAACGGCGATCCGTTCGTGCGCAAGTTTACGGACCAGCTGTTGGAAGAGGTCGGTTGCTATCGGCGGATATTGGACAGCTGATGACGAACTGCCGCAGGTGTCGAAACCGTTCTTCGCGACGTTGCACAAATGGCTGTTCTCTGGCGAGCTGAACGACCCATTCTCCGAGTTCTTCGTGTCCGTCGACCCGGGGCTTCTAGTTGGCAATAGGCCTCCAGTTGGCGAACAAAGTGGACCATCTCTGCCATGACGATTCTGACTTTGTGCCACTCGTGGTTCAATGCTATCGAGCAGACGGTTAGCCGTGCAATGGCACACCGCGGGCAGACGCGCACGTACCAGGAAGGCGGAGGAACGTCCGTGCGCCGCCTGCAATCCTCATCCAGCCCTTGCTCAGCGCGCTCTCGATGCGCTTGATCTTCCATAGGTGGTTGAAGAGCTTCAGGTACTTGATCATCGCCTCGGAGTCGATGACGGTGTCGATCGGCGCGTCAACCTTGTACTCGAGCGTGAAGACGTCCCACCCGATCTCGCCATGGGAGTACTCGAGCATCCGCGCGTCCAGGCGCCGGAGGACGTCTGGCGGGTCGTACTGGGCACTTGATTGGCGGATCGCAGTCTCGAGGGTCGCAGTCAGGTTATGGCGATAGAGCGTGTTCGCGGGGCGGGCCAGGTTCGGGCTAGACACAGGGCAAGGGGCTCAGTGACACCGGCAGCGCCCAAGCAGCACATCACGACTCACGCCAGGGACTCCATGAGCTGATCGGCGAAGTCGCCGTGTCCGAGGAGCAAGTACTGCTTCAGCGCGCGGAGGTGTTGTAGGAGGCCGTACTTTTCGAAGAAGATGTCAAATAGGCGACGGCTCGCAATTTGGTATGCGGTGTCGATGGACCGCTCAAGCCCCACGATGTCGCTGTATTGCAGCACTGCGCAGTTTCAGTGACGGTAACAGGACACGATGGGGACGGAGACGTACTGCCGCCGGTGTTGCTGAGCTTCTCCCGTGTGGCGACCCAGTCGCTATCTTGACAACTGTACCTTATAAAGTTTAGACTCTTCCCAGTTGAGAATATCTACCGCGCTTCGTTGAGAAGGTGCGACCAGATAGGCTGTCATGGCTGTCAAAAACGAACCTTGCGCCCAAAAGCTTCGCCTACGAAAGAGGGTAGCATCTCCGTTCTGAACTGGTATTTGCCCTCCCACAGCTTCAGGCCGACCTCGCGCTCGCCCACGTCTTCGGCCTCGCCGCCAAGCGCGCCGAACCCGCCGAACCCGCCGTCGCCAGCTAGCTGGCCGCTCGGCGACTGCTGCACGTACTGCAAGTGCGCGGGTCATTGAATGCTCGTGGAAGATCCTGCTCGAGTTTGTCAGCAAGAAAGAGGGCGACCTCGACGCGCTGATCGAAGCGCACCGAGCGTACTTGGACCGCATGGTGAAGAAGGTTCTACTATTGAGCTCGAAAGCAGGGCGCGAAGAGAATCTCCTGAACCAAGTGCGAGAGCTCTTCTCAACGATCCTCCAGTTCCGCGAAGCCACAGTACGTACACCTCATCACCTGCTCTCCCGCGCGACGCAGTGAACTATTGTCAAGGACGACTTCTACAACTTCTGTCTCTCCGAATCGGCGCGTCGCGATGCGGCGAGAGATTACGAAAGGGTAGGGCCCCTGAACCTTCCCGGCTTCCGCTTCTCTGACGACGCTTCCCCCAGGGCATCTACACCGGCGCCGTGCGGGACAGCCGGCCAGAGGCGCTGCCCGACATCCTGGCGCGCATACACGAATACGGCTCCTCGTTTTCCGAGCGGGTACAAGCGATCGTGCTGGGCCTGCAGAGTCACTCGGACCTCGACTGCCGCTTCCTCGGCGTGCGGCTCTCCTTCTCGGACTTTTACAGGTCGCGCCGCGAGCAGGCGCAGTCGAAGGCTTGATTCTTGGTGCTCCCGTGCACGCCGAATATCGAATGCAAGACCGCAGTCGAGGCTCTTCTCACGCAGCGTACGTGGTTTGCCGAGCGAGACGGCCTCGGACAACGTGAAGGCGTATGTCATGCCCAGTGAGCCGGAGCGTGGTCGGCTGAACCGTCTTTCGCCGAATGTGCCGAACGAACGTCACAGGATGTATTCCCAGGGCCGAAGTGTCTATCACTGTCGAACGAAAGCTACTGTTGCTGTAATCGCCCCCGGGAATTTCCGCCGCGAATTATCCGGAGGACTATCTGGGCAGAACGCGTGTGTTGGATGCAATGCGGCGGGTTATGTGTCATGAGAGCTGGTCGGTATTTAATTGTGCAGAGCCCTTACAGACACCGCAAAAGTGGGTTTTACGACATGGTGGGATCGGCGTGTCCCCGTGCTGGGGGGAGATGAAGTCGCATCTTGACTGGTTCCCGATGTGACCCTAAAAGTGCCGAATTCGTCGTCGGGTATTTGCGAGTGCAGTCTTACGCGGTAGCGAGAGCCCTACTTCCAGTCAGGGAGAAAGATATTGCACTGCTCTCGAACAAAGACTTTTGTTTTTCCGCCGCCGACACGGAACTTGGTCAACTGCAAGGCACATGACAGTTTTGCTGGCATTGAGCTGTGCAGCTCGAAAAGCTGCAACAGACGAACTTCGCCGTATTCTCTGGACTAACCTCTGTCACGAGAACGAGCAAAAAATAATAATCGCTCTGGACCACTCTGTATTCACGCCGAATCGAGTTCGGGCGCTTGTACTGCAACGCGAGAGTCGCGACGCGCAATGCGGTCTCCTCAGCTCTCCTCAGGCACTCTCTGAGAGACTGACTTTCGTGTTATTCGAGTGCCGATCTTCGCTTGCATCATTTACCCCTACTAGCAAGCGCGTTGTGTTGGCATAGTTTAACTAGCTGCATCCAGCGTAGTTGAACACCGCTTGTAGTAGTGCGCTGAACGGAAGGTGTTCAGTACTGCTCGCGAGCGGACTTGACTTCATGCTATTGTGAGCCTCATTTACTACTCGAACTCTGTGCTCTGTTGACATCTTGGATTTGACAGAGTTTCGTGCCACCAGATCTAACCTCCACACCTAGACTCCAGTGGGACTCGCAGATTCACGTGGGCAGGAAGTTGGCACCTGTAGGAAGTGCCGGGTCACACGGTAGGATTTCGCTATGCCATTTTGTGCCTTGATTTGAGTCGACATGTCCTCCTAGCCGCCTGCGTTCTGTCTTCAGGAGCGCCAGCCGGAATTTACCACATGATAGCGGCGTAACATTTCATGGTTGTCGCCGCCACTTTCCACCCTAGTCACAAGGTCCCATAACCAGCGGTTTCTAGCCCCATATTTCCGATACTGCCCTCGGAAGGTTAAGTTTGCACCCGCTTCTCTTACACATGTTGCCGAGTTCACTTGTGCCTGCGTTCGCGTGGACACAGCCATGGTCGCCGGGTTCGGCAAAATTTGACTCATGCCAAGTCTGCCGTGCCTCGAGACAGTCTGCAGGAACGGTAGGAAAATAAAAATTGATATGCGCATCTCATGCTCACTCCGATGCGCCGCAGCACTGGGAAGTCGCAGACGATAGATATAAAAGCCAGTGCAGATCTAGTGGTCTGTATCGTTTAACCAACTGCTATATCAAGTGCAAAATCTACCAGAGAAAGCATGTATGCGCACATATCTGTCCAGAAAATGCAGAACTGATCGCATACTCTGCAAGGCACACCAGCAGCTACATAACTAGCGCGGCGACAGGTACGCTTATCGTTTTCTCCTCCATACGGAAGCCGCCTGATGGGAATGCTACAGCAATCGTGACGTACGAATTTATTGCGAACCTCGATAGGGAGATTTCTGCCGTTTGGAGCAGGAAATGGTCATTGAGCTCCTTGATCCTGGTCATCCTCAGGTGGACGCTTGCTCTGCAAATGTTATTTTCTTGGCTCAGCGTTCCATCAGTGCGTAACCCTTCATTCCTCGTCAAATTCTCATGTCAACCTGTCAACCCAGGCGTCAGTACTTCAGTATCCTACAAATTCCCCCGTCTAGACGCTAACAAGGAATTACAGTTGCAATTTTACCGTAATCATGAACCAGGGTGTCTCCACGGTTATGAACCTTGCTCTTGCAAGTAAGGCTGTCCACAACTTCTTTCATAGGCTGCTTGTGGACTTACTGTCCGTACGCAATAGTGTTTGGAGCTCTCAGTGTGCATGCCATTCCAAAGGCGACCTATTATTTATCTGTCCTAATGTTCGTATTGGAGGTGATACCTTCAGCCTTTGTGATAGTATGTCCAGTATCCGAGGTCCTATTAATTGGGATTTATGTCACTCACCTTGCTCGTAGGTCAACACCGTGCTAGCAACGTATACTTATGTGGGAACACCCTTCTACGCCTCTACCCAGAGTTATACGTTAAGTCAACGATTTCTCAACATGTGAGTCTACTAATTTTGATTCATCGCGAGCTAAGCATGTTCCGGTAGAAGTATGTCTCAACCGTGTTTTCTGCTTGTAGATTATCTAACGTTCCAAGCTTCATGGACGAGTGGCGCTTGCTATGTAGCTGGAGGCGTCCTCTAGTTCCTCATAACTTGGATAATGGTTTCTCGACAATGGGCCGAATTCCGGCTACGCCCACCGGCATCCATCGCGACACTACTCCTGCGAGATGGTGAGTCCATCCGCTTCTGCTTCGGACCTCCCCCAGCGTGTCAATTACGTACCTCAGGAACACTGTATTTTGTGTGAGTCATCTACGGTCGTTCGACCCTTCCATCTCTCACGGTTGAATGTTGTATAGGATAATCGTCGTGCTGGATTTGACAAAACTGGTCCTGATCCTACTTGGTCACAAAGTAAGCCACTTTCCGAGTTTTTGATGCGCACACCGTAAGGCTCTTTCTTAGTCAGACGCTTCGTACGTCCAGTCGCTGCTCCAGACCCTGGTAAGCGTGGTGATAAGAATTGCATGCTTCTCTTCGTATTGACTATAGCAACCACAGTCTACCGTTGCCATCTGCCGCTTCATTCTCAGCTTGCGGCAGTTCAACGAGATCGGAGAAAATTCCCGCTAACGCACAGATAACTTGTCACCCCGGACCTACGATGTTCTAAGCATTAGAACAGACATGGCAGCATAGGACAGCCTCTCAAATACAGAGTCAGATTGCGACTGCGAGGAATTGATGTCCCGGCTTCGCTAGGTCACGCAGGCGAAGACAAAGTGTTAGCATGAGGAAACGGTGGTGTGTGGAGTTTTCCTCGACATATTCGGAGTCTTCGAATGTCTCATAGACGGTAGGCGAAGACACTCGGGACGAATGACCTACACGCAGTCCTGTGCGCATATTAGGCGCCTATGCCGTACGGTGACGCGAGTGCTAAATATCAAACGTTGATGTCTAACTTGGCTTTCGTACCAACTAAGCACCAGTTGCTTGCCTTTATCGGTCTTGCGTACGAGTGGTATATAGTCATGAGCCAACTGATCGCGTATGGTGTAGCTTAACGTTTATAGGTTGCCGAGCGCGAAGGTGTTTAGTGCTCATGACACGGGCTAAGCTTGACCCTCTGCTCATGTGAGTCTCACGCTCAGCGCTTTGCTGAAATAGTTTGCTTACACTACGGGCGCCGTCAGATGATTTCAGAACGTCTAAAATGTCTGGGACGGGGCATCAGAAGGGCTTCAGCTTTTCGGGCTTTTCCCCTCAGTTTCTGGCAGCGCTGAAATGTACGGTTTTCTTACATTTCAGGGTCATCCAGGAGAACGGAAAGCCTTCATTTCTTGAAGTGGTCAAGTACGAATTTTGTCAGGCTTGCATGACTGCGGAAAGTGCTAAGCCTTTTCAGGTATCATAAATTGACCTGGAAGAGAGATTAAGTTAATTTAGGACATCTGGAAGGCCCCACATTTTGTCCGGAATGAGCCCTTCCGTTGCCTTGTCAGGGATATCCCAAGCGTCCTGAACTCTGGGCGATGCCCATAGTGCTAGCAGAGCCTCCTGCCACTGTATTGAACCCTTGCGCTGCGGCCGAGCTCCGCCCGATCTACGTAAGCAGGGAAACTGGCACACCTGTGGTACTATGCCATGTCCATCTCATGGCAGAGTCGCGACTCGCGAGTATTCGACTTAGCCTAAGCTTATTATCCGCATGAGCGTTGCCCTCTTCCGTCCCACCCATCCGTAAGGCCCCCGGCTCTCGTTATAGTGCTCCCGACCCTGTTTTCGATAGGTGAGATTGGCACTCACTTTTCTAGCTCATGCACCACCTGCATAAGCATCGCCGCCACTTCCCTCTGTTCCCGCCCATCTGGAGGTCCTCCGGTTAGCGGCTATCATGGTGCTCCTGGCCCGTTTTCGATAGGTGAGATTGGCACCCGCTTTTCTGGCTCATGCTCCGGGATTCAGTCCTGACTGCGCTCGCGCAAATGGATATCCACAAAGGTCGGTGTGTGTCGAATCCGGTGTGTCATGGAATCATCAGCGAGAATAGTGGAAAAGTGGAAGCTGATCTGTTCGTCTCAGGTTAACTTTAGGCGCCATAGTGATCATTAGGCCGCCGACGATGGATATAAAGCCTTATGTAGATCTGGTGGTCTACACCACCTGGCCAACTGCCCCGGCAAGAGCACATACCGCGGAGACGTTTACGGTCACACATACGTCCGTCATAATGTCCTCGAGTCAGGCAGATACCACATATCTGCAGGCCCCGTATCAAATGTAGGTGCACACACCCATTCAGATGCTGCACAATCGATTGAATACGTCACAAGGTACACCAGTAACTACATTACCGGCGCGGCGACAGGTGAGTTTGGTGCCTCCTCCTGCATACGAAGAGCACCTGACTGGAATAGGAATCGTGGCGTATGAGCTCATCATGAATCTCGACAGAGAGGCTACCGCCGTTTGGAGTACTAGGAAGTGGACAGCGATCTCTTTAACCCTAGTTGTCCTCCGGTGGATGCTCGTTTTGGAAATGTTATTCTCTTGGCTCAATAACCCCTCAGTACGTGACCCTCTTTATCTCCCTCAATTTATCTCAATAAACGGTCACAATAGGCGTTAGTTCTTTCAGCATTCTACAGTTTCCAGCCTAGATAATGACACAGGAATACAGCTGCAAATTTACCATGATCATGAGCCAGGTCGCTTCTGTGATTGTATCCGTTACTGTTGCATGTAAGTTTGTTTCCACAGCTTCACATCGGCCGTTTATGAAGTATTATTTATCTGTGCCGACCTTTCTACTGGTAGCGGCACCCTGGGTCTTTAATACGGTATGTGCAATATCCAAGTTTTGTCAAGTGGGGCTCGTGTCATTCAACTTGCTCGTAGATCTGCATCGTGCGAGCAAGGTATACCTACACAGGAGCACCCTTCTACACGTGTACCCAGACATTTACATTAAGCCAGCAATTTTTAAATATGCGAGTCTACTAGTGTCTATCCGCCAACACTCCGGTCTGAGCGTGTCCTCATAGTGGTATGTTTTAAATATGCCTTCTGCTTCATGAATTTTGACATTCCAAGCTTTATGGGCCGGTAGTGCTTGCTACACAGCTGGAAACATCCTCTGGTTATTTGTGACATGGAAAACCATTCGTCTACAGTAGATTGAATTCCGGCAGATACGTTTGTTGACTTCCATTACGACACGGTTTCTGCGAGATGGTGAGTTCGGTCCCTTTTGCCTCGAACCTCTCCTGACATGCGAGATGTGTTTGCCAGGAACGTTGTGCTTCGCGTGCGTAAGCCCTTACTTCTTCCACCCTTCCCTATTTCATAGCGACTACCCTCGTTTACAGCACCATCGCCGCACTGAACCTGACGCAGCTGATCATATTCAACCCGAAAGTGAGTTTCATTCTGGATCACTGTTTAACACTCCGTTAATACTATTATTCAGATCCACGGTTGGTATGTCCAACCGTTGCTACAGGTTCTGGTAAGAGCATTAATGAAGTCCACATTCCTCAGCTAGTATTGACTGTGGTCACTGTAGCCTTCCGTGGTTGTCTGCCGCCTCATTTTCAGCTTGCACCAGTTCGGTAAAACCCATGAAAATTCTCACTGGCGTACAGATGTCTCCTCGTGCCTCGCGTCCTTGGTATTCCGAGCGTTCCCAGACAATATGGACAACTTAGGCGAGCCTCTCGACTGCCTGGGGTCAAATCTTGGGTACGAGGAACGGGATGAGACTTGTGTCCCAGCCTTGCTGGTCCGTGCAGGTGGAGACGAGGCGGCAGTCTGAACCTTGTCCGGCTCTCCTGGTCAATGGCTACACGTCGCAATCATCTATCTCCCGAGGAGTGCGTCATCAGAACTTAGTCGTTTGTTTGTTCGTCCCGGAATTAGGCTTGCCGCAGATGATACTGTAGTGTAGAGAAGGCTCTTTTGCATCCAAATTTCGATGCTCTCAGCGTTCAGACATGCAAAAAAGCATGACGACAGGTCCTCCGTCCGTCTGTCACCTGTCGCGGAGCAGTGCTCCTTAGATGCGGCCGACTACGGTGAGATGGTTACCATGAGTACTTTCATCGTAAACTTGCTCCGCAACCGTTCCCATCCTGAAAATTTTGCTGTTCACACATGCATTATCTTTGTGAGAAGGGTTGTACCCCGAGCAGTCAGCCAGACGATCGGGACGTACGATGTCTCCTTTAGCACAATTCCTGCATGCAAGGCCTATTTAATGTGGGCGTGGCGAAGTCCGATGTCAACCACGCACGTGGCGCGTTTTGTCGTTGTGGCAAACTGGAATATGACAGCCCTTCACTTGTGCGATTACATAACGTTGTCAACCAGTTCTTGCATCTCTCCTGCCGTGGCGACGCCCGTGGCTCTTTGTCTGAGCTGACCTCAAGGGACAGCGTCCTGGCGAAATACCCGTCAGTTGAATATTATCAGTACGCCTGCGAATCAACGTATCGTAGCAGTTGCGATGATACGCAACTTGAATTGCATGGCGGTCAGCTGAGTCGCTTGCGATCGGTCAAAGCTTGAGCTTGATCTGTGGCGATGGGTACACTTTACATTGGTGGCCATCACGTTCACGCCGTCTGTCAGCTCTTTCCGCACACCACAGGTATCCTTGACACGAGCCGCCACGCCGGAGCGGGAATTAGGCAAGGTCAATGCTACCATATCGTTGGCCGTGACAATCTGCACAGCCGGAACAGTGCCTCATTGAGACAGATCGCCCCACGAGACAGCATAGCGCACCCTGCAGACGTCCGACACGCCGGCTTTCGGGGGTCGCCGCTCCTGCGTTGGGTCTATGGCCGATCCAAAGTCAGTAGGAGGGCTAAGCGGAATAATGAAAGTGCTTTTCTGAAGCGGAACCAGCGGAAGGCGGCTGATTCGGCTCGACCGGCGCACAGCTCGAGCTTGCCACGCTTGGCAAAGAAGCACAACCACCTACAGGTCTGCGCCGTGGATACGGAAGCCACGTCGCTTTGCAACGAGGCTTCAAGTTGAGGGGGGGGGGGGCAATAGTCTTTCCCGTCGCCCCTTTCATAAATTTGCGTTCAAGACCTTCCAGCGAGCGCAGGACGCGCTTTATCTATGCATTCGAAGAAGGTCCACCATAGGGCATACCGGCCCCACCCTAGTCCGGCGTTCAATCCCATTGCGGTACAGGCTGTGGCACCTCCGGCTCCACTGCCATGTCAGGCGTCGCGGCAGCCTGCCAGAATGCTATTCACGAGGCAGCGAAAAGAAGGAGAGAGTTGCGAAAATAATTTTGGGCCAATACTGGATTGTACGAATCCGATAAACAAAGCTTCCCGCAGTACTGTTATTGGCTCGACCTTCTGCTCTTGTGAGTCTCATTTGCTACTCAAGCTCAAGCTCTGTGCTTTGCTAATATCTTTGGTTAACAGAGCTCCTTATCACTGCAACAAACCTTTGAACCTGCGCTCGAGCCAAGCTCCACCGATCTACGTAAGCAGGGAAACTGACGTCCTCGAGACGTACTGTGCCTTGTCTTGTATGTTTGGGTTGTGGCATACAGGCTTTCTCTTGGGCGCCGACATCATACCTACCCTATGGAGTGGCACAACTTTATGGAGTCGCGAGTGCCCGTATACATGAGCGTCTCGTCAGTAGTAACACTCAAATCTTCACCATCCTGGTGGCAGCTGTTCGCCCTCATCTGCATATATGGGGATTCCCCGGTTAGAGGCTTTCCGCATGGCGCTACTCACTTCGTCTTCGATAGATGAGTTGGCACCCACTCCTCTGACCCATGCCCCGTACTGACTTTTGATCACGCTCGCGTAAACACGGCCCAGGCGCTTCGCTGTGTTGGTAGGGTGCGGTATGCACCGAGTACGCCGAGTACGCCGAGTACGCCGACCACGCCACGCCGTCCGGGAATGGTGGAAATTTGGAAACTGATCTGCCCAATCTAGACCAATCCGAGGCATTATGATGCTGGTAGGTTGCCGACATTGAATGTGGACGTCAATGTGCGTCCAGTGATTTATACACCTGGTCGACTGTCCAGGCAAGAGTGCATTCTACAGAGGAGGAGACGTCTTCGGCCCCATATACATCCTCCACAATGTCCTCAAATTCAACAGACGCTGCGCATGGGCAAGCCGTGTACGAAATGTGAGTATATACACCTCTTTTCATATTGCGGAGCTGACTAGATATTTTAAAGGTATACCTTGAGCTACGTGGGCTGCGCGGTGACAAGTGAGCTTGCTACCTTCCACCCTACGAAGCCCCCCTAACCGGAGTAGCAATTGTGGCCTACGAGTTCATCACGAATCTCGATAGAGAGATCGCCGTCGTTTGGTGTAGGAAATGGACCATCGTCTCCTCACTCTTGGTCGTGCTTCGGTGGACACCTATCTTACAAGTGTTGTTCTGTTGGCTCGCCGGTATTTCAGTGTGTAACCCCTCGGAATTTTACCGATTTACTTCGCTGACTAGTCGACCTAGGAGTTCGTACCCTCAGTATCGTGCAACCTCCCGTCTACTACCACTCACGGGGGACTACAGCTGCAAACGTATCATCATGTCAGACCAAGCTGCCTTCGTGGGTATATGCCTTGCTTTCGCACGTAAGCCTTCTTCATAACTTCGACTCATCCGCCATTCGTGAGTTCATCGCCTGCAACAGTGTTCGCAGCTCTCGGTGTGCACGCTAGTTCAAATGGAAAGCGCAGTTTATCTATTTTGACCTTCATACTGCCGACAATATCTCCGGTCTTCAATGTTGTGCGTTCGATCTTCGAATGCTGGAGACGACATCATTCAGCTTTTCTGTAGGCCATCATCGCGCGATCAACGTATACTTATGTAGGAGCGCCATTCTATCAATGTGTCCAGAACATGCCAGTCAGCTCTCGATCAATCAACATGTAAGTCCACTGGTTCCTACATGCCAATATTTTGACCTGAATATACCCTTGTAGAGGTATGCCTTAGATATGGTTTCTGCTTCAGAATTATCTAACATACCAAGTATCATGGACCATTTCCATCTGCACCCTAGCTGGGCACATTATTGTGCTGCTGGCGCTGTGGAGAACAAATTTTCGACAGTGGGTCGAATCCCGGAAGTTACGCCTGCGGACTTCTATCGCGGCACTGCTTCTGCGAGATGGTGGGCTGGTCTATTTTTGCTTCAAATTTGTCCTAACCTGTTGCATATGTATGCTAGTAACGCTGTGTTTCATGTGCGCAAACCGTCAAGTCCTTGACGGCTCCATCTCTCACTATCAAATGTCTTACAGCACAATATTTGCACTGGATCTGACCCAACTGCTCTTGCTTGCTCCCAAAGTACTAGTAGGTCCCCCTCTGAGTATCTACTCAACATGCCGTTGACGCTTTTATAGTCAGACGCCACGTACGCCCAGCCACTGATCCAAGTCCTGGTAAGCATGTCCACGGGGCTCAAATCTCTCCCCTAGCATTAACCGTGGTCATCACAGCCTGCAATTACTGTCTGCCGCCTCGTTCTTAACCTACGACAATTTGACGAAAAGAAAGAAAACCCCCACTGGCGCACAAATCTTTCGTCTGGCGTGGCGTCAGTCATATTCCGAGACGTCCCGGATCGAATGGGCGATATAGGCGTACCCCTTGATTTCGTGGGGTCCGACGGTTTACAAGGACGAAGAATGGAACAAGATTGATATCCCGGCCTCGCAAGCTCATGCAAGCGGTGAGAGGGCGCCAGCCTAAGCCCTGTTTGGTTCCCCTAGCTAGTGGCTATACATCGCAATGACATTATATGCTGAGTGTACACTCGAGATTCGGCTGCCTATTGGAACACGCGTGAGATTACGACGTGGGGTAGACACTCTCATGTCCCATTCTCAATACTCTCGCTCACGTAGGCATCAAAGCAGAACAACAACCTCGCCATTTTCAGGAACGTCGACGGCCCCTCACCATCTCCGCTGTCCGCCGCACATTTCTGCCGCCGAGCAGTGCTCGTCAGAGACGGCCGATCATGTTCACTCGGAGGTGGTTACTCCGGGTAAGTACTGTATTCAATGAAGTTGGGATATCTGCTCCTCAAGCGACTCTCATTTGCGCTCTGGAAGATTGGAAGCCTGGAATTGTGGGCGGATCACCTGGTGAAAAGGGTCTGGCGCTTCTCTTCCAATGCTGCGGAACAGACAGGCGCCTGTTACGCTCGAAAGTCAGCCAGCTGTCTTCATCATTTGCCCTCATCAACCGTCCTATCTGCATAAACTGAGCACTATTTGCGTGCGGTGTAGTTGAACTCTTGATTTTCTAACTACGAAAGTACCGCCTTACTAAGTACTTACTCGCAACAGGACTTGACCGGGTTTGGCTTTCTGTTATTGGGCACCCAAATGCGCGATTTGCCGATTTTTTCCTTGACATGACAGTTCCCTATAGCCACCACAGGGTCGAATTTCCGAACCTGCATTCGAATTGAGCGCATCAATTTGCGTAAGCAGGGAACGGACATGATCTGTGCAAGCATGCGAGCTTGTTCATACAGCAGCAATGTGTCATGTCCTTTGTCTTTGTCTTCCTCTGGCCGCCTGTCCCTGGGAGTGCTAACAGGATGCCTACCTAGGGGAGCAATATGGCGTTCGAGTTTACTAACATCGCGCGAGCGTTTGACTTGAACTGACTAGCATGGTTGTCGTTATTGCCACCTTCTATCCTACCTTCGCTGCTTCACGTTTGCCAGGTCCCAACATAATGCTCCTAGCTGCTCAATTCAACAGGTTAGTGCCTCCGTGTCTAACTCATTTCCCTTAACTTACTTTCGACCGCACTCGTGCGGATACAGGCTTCGAGAGTGTTCAGCTCAGCGAAATTCGGCATCATTCGTCAGATCTGCTGTGCCACGAAATTGCCAACGGAGGGTGCTGGAAAGATGGAAATAGGTGAATTAGATGTTCGCTTCTCATGCATTATACTAGTAGTCAATCTGACAGCAACATAGCCACTAGAAGGTCACGGACGATGAATATAAAGACCGATGCTGGTATGGTGGTGTATACCATAAGCTGGCCGACCGCCCAGGCGAGAGTACAGTTTTCTGGAGAAAAACGGCTGTATTTACGTCATAATGTCTTCAAGTGCGGCTGACGCCGCATATCAACAAGTCGTCCTCAAAGCGTAGGTGTGTATACGCATGTGCTTAGACTCTGATGCTGACTAGTTATTCTACAAGTCACTCCCTCGGTTACGTAGACTGCGCAGCGACAAGTGAGCTTGCGGTCATTTCCTACGCAGAGATTCCTGACCAGAATAGCCATAATGGCCTACGAGTTCATCATGAACCTCGACAGAGAGATTGTTGCCGTCTGGTGTAGGAAGTGGACGACTATATCATCTATTCTGGTCATCCTGCGGTGGACGCTCGTTTTACAAATGTTGTTTTCCTGGCTTAGTGGTCCTACAGTGCGTGATTTCCCAATTCTGGCCAACTTCCCTCACCAGCCAATCATTTTAGGCGTCAGTACTTTCGACATTCCACGACCTGTTATCTGACGCTGGGAGGGAACCACAGTTGCAGATTTACCATCATTTTGAACCAAGCTGCCTGGGTGATTGTGGCCCTGGCTCTTGCATGTAAGTTCACCTCCATGTCTTCTTCTCATAAGTCGCTCGTAAATTCCCCACTTGTTACAGTGTTCGGAGCTCTCGGTCTTCACGCTATTTCGAAGGCGAGATATCATCTATCTGCTCTGATGTTCATGTTGGAAGCGGTGCCTCCGGTCTTTAGCTTGGTGCGCTCAATATTCAATGCTAGTACTTAGTGGCCATGTCAGCTTGCTCGCAGGTCATGGCCGTACGATCCAGATATGATTACATAGGGGAGCCCGTTTATCAGTGCAGCCAGGTCAGTATGTTGAGCCAGCGATTTGTCGAAATGTAGGTCGGGGAGTCTCTGCTCATCGATATCTTGGACTGATCATGCTCTTGTAGAGGTAGGTTCCAGGCATGCTATCTGCTCCAGTGAATTCCAACATCCCTAAGTTTCGTGGACAGGTAGTACCTGCTTTGTAGCCGCGAAGATCCTCTGGTTAGTGGTGACATGGAGAATGATGTTTCGACAATGGGCCGAATCCCGAAACTTGGGTCTACCGACCTCCATCGTGACGCTATTCCTGCGAGATGGTAAGCCCGGCCGCTTTACCCCCAACCTGTCCTAACATGTCACATACGTACATCAGGAACGCTGTACATGGTGTATGTAGGTTGCTAGCCATTCAATCCTTTCGCCTCTCACAATCAAGTACCGTGCAGTGCGATTATGGCGCTAGATTTGTCGCAGCTGTTCTTATTTGTACCAAGAGTAAGTAGTTTTTCTAGTCTCTATCTAAATTATTGTTTACGCTCTTCCTCAGTCAGATGCTCCGTACGTCCAACCGCTGGCCCAGGTCTTGGTAAACTTGTTTGTGGGGCTCGTATCTCTATTCTATCACTGACTGCGATTATTACAGCCTTCCGTTGCCATCTGCCGCCTTATTCTCAATTTGCGACAATGCAACAAGGACAAAGAAAACTCCCAATGGCAAACGAATGGCTCCTCTCGCGCGAGCCCCATGTTATTCCAAGCGCTCCGTGATGGGATGAGCAACATGGGCGAGACTTTTGATAACATGGAGGACGAGGAGCGGGACGACTCTGATGACCCGACCGCGTTGGTCCATGCAGGCGGACATGAGGTGCCGAGCACCTTCTCCGGCTCTCTTAAGCTAGTGGTTTCGCAATTTTGACGTATCCCGAGGAGAATGCGTTTGGAGCTGAGTTACGTGTATGTCTGTCTTAAAATAGGGCAAACAATATTCTCGCACCCAATTCACAACATTCTCGCTCACTCAGATACACATCAAAGCACAACTTAGACTGAGCCCACGAGGATCACAACTTCGGTGTGACAAAGCTGTGAGCCACGTGAAGGGCGCTACCACCAGTACTCGTATACTGTATGTCAATTCGCTGAGCGCGTTACGCCCGATCACATTTACGTGTTTGTCTTAGGTATACAGTTATCGTCAGTGATATTCGTAAACACTCGCTGGAGGCGTTCTCAGTCCCCTTGGGACCTCGCTGAGGTAAAAACGAGAGACACAGCATACGCGCTGAGTGGAATTGGAAATCATGCCTTTTCTTTCCTGATTCCTTGCGTGTCCTCAGGTTCGCTCTGTTCGCCGATGCGGCCGTCCACACCAACTCCGGTGTGCGACACATGTATTGTTTTTGTGGAGAAAGATCACTGGGGCAGCCCAACAATGGCGTTGTCGACGCTGTCGAGCAAGTCTTGCATCTCTCCTGCCGCAGCAACGCCCGTTATCCTCTGTCTCGGCCCCGGCTGACCTCGAGCGGTAGCACTCTGGAGGAGTATCCGTTAACGGATATCGACACCATGTCTGCAGATTCACGCACCGTAGCAGCTGCGATGGCGCGCACTTGCACGGTCAACTGGGCAGCTCGCGGTCAGTCAGTGCTCGACCTGCGGCGATGAAATACTTTACACTGGCAGTCATCACGTTCACGCTGTCCGTCAGTTCTTTCCAGGAGCCTTGGGCATCCTTGACACGAGCCTGTATGCCAAGCTTCCCGTGATTGACCTCTTTGATGACATGCACGACCTCGTGCACCACTGAGTCCAGTTTCTCGGCCTGCGCACCGCCATTTCAGCATCGTTAGAGTAAATATCAGGCCAAATTATTGCTACCATATCGTTGACCACATTCATCAGTTGCACCATGACAACTTCCACAACTGGGAGAGTGATTCTGCGTGACAGATCGCCCTGCGCTACGGCATTGCACACCCTGCACACGTCCGACACGACAGCTTTCAGCAGCCGAAGCTCTTCCCTGGGCTCCATTGCCGATTCGAATCTAGCAAGGTGCAGAGGACCAGGAACAACAACTGGTGCTTCCGATGAGACCTCTGGAGCGAAGCCAACATAGCCGGCATCAACAGCAGCGGCCGGTTCATCTAGATCGGCATAGAAGATTGAGCTTTTCACGCTTGATAACGAGGCACTTGAGCCACCTATCGGCCTGCAACGCCCCAATCCAGAGGTCCCGTCGCTTTGCAACGAAGCCTTTGAAGGCCCAGGAGCTTTCTCCATGGTCAGCTTGCGCTCAAGACCTTCCAGCGAGCGCAGGATGCGCTCTGTCTTCGCGTTCGAAGGCCCATCGTAAAGTGCGCCGGATAAACCGGCTTCCAGCCTGGCCAGGCGATCGACGAGGTAGTCCAAGAAGAGTTCTGCGTCCTGCGAGGCCGCCATACTCAACGCTGATATCGATATGATGGGAGTCAAGGTCCAGCGGACAATCTAATGCAGTCTTGCCGGGAGTGATCAGCTTCAGGACGCATCCTGGAATTTTCGCCGCAATTGGGGCTCAGAACGCCAGACTACTAAGCGCTCGGTAATACCTCTATATAATATATGGCCACAGCATTTGCCAACGCTGAAGCTCCCAGTGAAAACCCCGTCCGCCTGAAGCGACCGAGGACTGCCCGAGTCTATCGAAAATCAACTAATCTACCCTCAGCGACCTCAGAGAAATCAGCAGACGCCGGAGAAGCTCTGACGTCCGCGCCCATCGGTTGCGTCTCCATTGAGTTGGCGGCACACAGTGGCGCATCAATGTCACCGTGCACTTTGACGCGTCCATTAATGCCTCTCCAACGTGTTCAAATGCCACCGACTCTTCCAAATCCAAATCCGAGTGAACTAATGACTTCAATGTCCCGACACCACCGACCGATGCTGCCAAATCGAAGCGGAAATGCCCTATCCCACTTATATAAGGGCACACCTCTGGCGACAGCGCCGCGCCGCTCTCTTTCTGCTGCCCCCACCATGCCACCCGTCGTGTCCCGCATCCCTGTAGTCCCCGTCCCGCTATTCAATCCGGCAAGCAGGTGAGTATATGCGCATATACCAACACCGAAAGTCTTTGTTGACATCAACTCATGCCTCTCGGCGCTGTGTTGTACTCAACATCGCAGGGGCAGTCAAGCCAGTCGATACACTGCCGCAAATGTTGGGGGCGGGCTCAAGGTGCGTCTACACTTGCCCTTTTCACAGCTGCGTCGTGCTCACAACAGCAACCAACAGACATGTCTGTTTCTGTTCATCACGTATATGTGCTCGGGACATGCTGAATGCTGGTATCGCGCGATGGTCGGCGGGGAGGTCACGGACGCCTTGCTTCTGACGCTCGGCCGCCAGAGCACGGGAGGATCGGTGGGTGTAGAGTACGATAGATCTGGATTGTACCGAGCATATATGAGTGGCACAAAATATAATATCAATTTTACTCGAATTAGGCACAAAGAATTGAGGGTGCAGCTCATGGAATTGCACAAACCTGCCCGGTACTGTCCAGATCTACCCGCGGTCAACCCATGTTTGTGCGGACACATTCTGATGGATTGGATAGACCTTAGGTCCCTTACTACAACACTCCACCATCCAGGTCGATCTCACGCTGCCGACCAACTACAGGTCGACTCAGGTCGACTCAGATAGCGCCAGATGGACGAGGTTCTCACTGGGAGCGCTGAAGACGGAACTGTAGCGGTGGGGTACACGAATTACTATTACAACAGAAACCAAAAATACTACACAAGACTATGGTATCGGGTCTTACAACAGCTGTAGGGTATAGTGCAGAGTGGTACTGGGTCACGGCGCTATCATGCGCGAGAAATGGACGGCTCCTTGTAAAGCTTCAGGAGCAGCGAGCTGCAAACAACAGACACGGACGACAGGGCCATGGACAACGAAGCCCACACCTGGCGAACAAAAAAGCGTAAGCACCGTGGATATGAGACAGTTATGAACAGATAGTACGTACCGGTGGCAGGCGCGGGTGGCCGTGGATAGGGTAAATGATGCCAGCCGCGATCGGCAGCGAGACGAGGTTGTAAATGCTCGCCCACAGCTGTATAAGGTGTACATGTTGAGCATCTGGGATCCTACGCGTTAGAGACGAGAGAAGAGGAACGCACGAAGTTGAACTTGACGCGCTGGAAGACTGTGCGCGAGAGGTCGATGAGCGTCAGCAAGCTGCGCAGCTCAGAGGACACGAGGATGAACGAGGCACTTGAAATCGCGACGTCGCCTGCAGAGTGGGTCGCGTCAGCAAGGGTCACCGGCCACGATGGAAGGACCAGAAACTTACTCCCTGAGCCGATTGCGATGCCAACGTCGGCAGCGCTCAAAGCCTAATATTACTGCATCAGCCCTGGCAATTCTATATCGGAAGGGTCGTGGACTCACGGGAGCGTCGTTGATGCCGTCTCCTACCATCGCCACGATGCACCGCTTGTTGAGCCTGCGCCCGCCTATCCAGCGATGCCAGCCGCGCGGCGCACGCTTCATGCCGACCTGTTGCAGCCACTGGATCTTCATCGCCTGTACGAAACGGCGTCAGACACCCCACTCATCGTAACCAACAACACACGACCGAGAGACGCACCTTCTCATGCGGGAGCACCCCCGCGATGACGTTCGTCTCAGGGATGCCCACCTTCTTCGCGACCGCCTTCGCCGTGACCGGGTTGTCGCCCGAGATCATCCACGTGGCGAGCCCCTGCTCCTGGAGGAGCGCTACGACGGCGGGTGCCTCCGTGCGCAGGGGGTCTGCGACGGCGTACGCCGCGCACAGCACGAACCCCTCGCCGCCCTCCTCGGCCTTTCCGAGCCGGCGCAGCGCGAGGAGCACGACGCTGTTGCCCTCGGCCTTCCACGCGCCGAGGCGCGCGTCCACGCGGCCGTCGACCGCGACGCCGTGCTCCGCCATCCACGCCTCGTTCCCGATGACGGCCTCGGCGGCGAGCGCGTCGAAGCGCGCGCTGAGGCCGCGCCCCGCGGTCTCGGCGACGCTCACCGCACTCTGCGGGGTCCCGCGCGCACCGTCGCAGTATGCACGGATCGCACTCGCGAGCGGGTGCGTGCTCGCGGACTCGAGCTCGGCCGCGACGCCGTGCACGACCGCGGGCTCCCAGCCGGACGCGGCGGGCAGGTCCGCGTCGACGACGCGCGGGTCGCCGCCCTCGGTGAGCGTGCCGGTCTTGTCGAAGACGATGAGGTCGAGCTGCGCGGCCTCCTGGAAGGCCTCGCCGCCGCCGCGGACGAGGATGCCGAACTTGGCCGCGAGCCCCGAGCCGACGAGGAGCGCGGTCGGCGCGGCGAGGCCGATGCCGCAAGGGCAGGCGACGACGAAGACCGATATCGCGAACTCCAGAGACCAAACAGCTGTGTGCAACCTGAGATGAGTATCCACTCGGAAAGTTTAAGAGTTCATGGATCACGCACTCCAACCTCCGACCTGAATGTCCAGGTAGTCGCGCGGCAGCGCACCGCTGGTGCCGAGGGCGAGCCAGACCACCCAAGTCAAGATGGCAATCAGAGTGACCACAGGCACGAAGTAGCCCGTCAAGAGGTCCGCGACGCGCTCGATAGGGGCCCTCTTGGTCTGGCCCTCCCTGACGACTTTGACGACTTGGTCCAGCCTGTATTGGCAAATCAGCACGTGCCCGCGACTCAAAAAAAACAAATGCCTCAACGTACATAGTTTCGCCTCCGATCGCGTCGACCCTGATGTCAACGATGGCACCCCGATTGATGGTGCCGACGAACACGCTATCTCCGGCCAGCTTCTTGACTAAGCGGCTCTCGCCCGTAAGCGAGCTCTCATCAAATGAGGCGTGTTCGGCCCCGACGTTGACGAGCGTGCCGTCCGCCGGCGGACTCGCGCCATGCTGCACGCGCACGACATCGCCGACCTCGAGAAGGTCAGCAGGCACACGCACGACCGAGGAGCGGCCGAGCGGCTTCTCGACAACGTCCGAATCGTCCGCCACGCCTTTCTCGGGATCGTCCGAGTCGGTGAGCGTAAGGTTGGGCGTGGAGAACGTCACTTTGCGTGGCGCGGACGACAAGAGAAGCGCAGAGGTGGGGCGGAGCTTTCCCAGCGCTGTAATCGCGTCGGCGGTGTGGCCTTTGCTGTATGCTTCTAGGTAGCGGCCTGATAAAAAATTGTTAGTGGAATGAAATGGCGCGTCGAGACCGCGAGGCCACTCACCGGCAAGAAGGAACATGGTGAGCAGCACTACCGAATCGAACCATGTAGTCGAGTCGCCGTCGCCCGTGGGTGAGCGCTGCTGCGTCGCGGACAGCGCGAGCAGCGCAATCGACGCGAAGTACGCCACGGATACGCCGCTGGACACAAGCATGTTCATGCTGCCGAACCGCACGAACCGCTTCCAGACCGGCATGCGGCTGCCCTTGCGCCAGAGCGAATAGATCTCTTTGATGGTGCGCCGATGGAACGTGCCCGCGCTATAGAACATGACAGGCGTCGCGAGGAAGAACAGGGCCCATTGGATGCGCGCGGCGTTGCCAGCCCAAATGGGGCGCATCCACCACTGGCGCGTGGCATTGGTGTGGGGCACGAGGCTCATGTAGACGACGCCGATGATAAAGGTCGGGATTGCAACAATGACCGAGAAGAACAGGCGCCAGAGTAAAGCGCGCTGTTCTCGCGTTTGCAAGCGGCGTGCACGCTCTTCGAGCGTCGGTGGGTGGTATACGGAAGCAGTGAAGGGACGCGATGATGCCGCAGTGGGGGAGTTAATGGCGTCTAGAATCGTTCTGATTGTAAAGTCTGGCGGGGACGGCGTATACGTGATGCGCATAATTGGATCAGTGTAAGATGTAATTGGTTTTTCGATCGTGATCTTGTCTTCTAGAGGGCGAAGCAATGCCTCGACTTTAGCGGGGCAGTGGCTGTGATAGATGTTAGCTATGGCTCAGGGGCTCGATGAACCAAATACGGTACCTGCAGAATAAGCCTTCCACGCGCAGCGAGACTATCCGCGGGCCAACGACATGGTCTGGCTCTGTGTGGACCGGCGCTAGGCTGACAATGTCGGCCTCATAGCCGGCATCCTCAATGGCTTCGACAACCTGCGCTGCAAGCTCCCTAGTAGCCATAACGACAGTAGCAGCGTTTCCAAGGACGTCGACAACGACATCAGATACTCCAGGAATGTCCGAGGTCATGCTTGTAATCGTGTTGGCGCACGACGCGCACGTCATGCCACCCACAGAGAGCGTCAGCAGGAATGGACCCTTGGATTCCTCATTGGAAGGCTGGCGAGGTGCAGGCATTGCCGATTTTACGGGCTCGACGCTGATCACGTCGGCATCAAACCCGGCATCTTCGACGGCCTTGGCAATACTCTGGGCAAGGTTTTGGGTGTCGATGGTCGCGGTGGCAGAATTACCCAAGAGGTTGACCACGACGTCGGAGACTCCTGGAAGCTCTGAAACGATGCGAGTGAGGGTGTTAGAGCAAGAGGCACAAGTCATGCCTCCAACGGACAACGTCACATGGTAGGGTCCAGGAGGGGTGGACGCGATAGGAGTCGTGGGGGTAGACGAGTAGAGCTTTTTCTCGTTAGAGACGTGAGGAGAATCTGCGGTCGCCTTTGTTGATTCCGGGGAATCTGAAATTAGAGTCTGCTCGCCGAACTTGTCCCGTGGGTCATACGATCCACCATGCGCCTGCTCTTGCTGGCATTGAGGACACTGTTCGATGTGCTTGAGGCGTCTGCGGGAGAGTGTCGGCGGGAGCCGTGGGACACTGGCGACGAAGGAATGCGGCGGCTCGATCGCGTCTGGAGTCGCGACAATGTCGAAGCCGGCGTCATCGAGAGCGGCCCTGATGGCGCCGGGCACAAGCTGCTGGGAGTGGCGAACGGTCACGGTCTGAGTGACGATGGAGACGTCGACTGCTGTTGGAGGTGGCGAGAGGGAGGCGAAGGCATCCTGGATGGTGCGAACACAGCTAGGACGCGTAAGACGATGGTCAGAGAGGCACTAATTGGCGGAGATCGGGGGACGTACCTGCTGCAGTGGAGGTTGGAGACGAGCAGAGTGGTGAGGACGTCGTCGCTGCCTGAGGCCATGGTGAAGATGGACCTTGGGGCCTGGAGTGTGGGTAGAGGCCTGGCAGAGGGCCTCCTGGCATATAAAGGCTCGGGCATGCTGTGTCGGCTAGAGTGAGCGGCTGGAAGGGGAAATGCAAGCGCGAGGAGGGGTAGCGGTAAGCCCGATGTCTGTCCATTGCCGTCATCTTCTCCTCCGCTTTTCAAGGCAAAGCGAAGTTTGTCCAACAAATCGCGCACTCCCCGGCGTCCAATCAGCCGATCGTGATCTCACTCGCGCACAAATGGCTCGTGCTTACTAAGCGTTAAACGAAAATGCTTACTGAGATCTTAGATGCCGAGCCGCGACTGATGCCACCTCGGCACCCACTCCCGGGGTCCCTCAGGAGCCCTGCCGTTCGCGAATTAACCGGCACACGACCAGCTCCTGCAGGCAAAAGGTGCACCTTCCCTCGCAGGAGGGAAAAAGCAGATTATTTTCTCCATTTTTCTTCCGTCCTCTCCCGCTCACCATGTTCCACTTTTCCAGCCCATTCCATTCCAAGGGCCGTCACGACAGCCACCACCACGAAGGCTCGTCCAGCAGCCCTAATTCGGCTCACTCAGAGAGGCTCTCTCGCTCGCGCATGTCCTTCTTCAGGTCCCCTGACCCCTCGCCCATTTCCCCCCGGTCTGACTCAAGAGCCACCACCCGGTCTCAGACGCCTTCGCCCAATGGCTCCCACTCGGATCTGTCCACCGCCACAGACCCTCCCCGTCCACCGATCGTCCTCGGAATATGTGCCATGGACGTCAAGGCTCGCTCAAAAGCTATGCGCGAGATACTTACCCGTCTAGTTGACAGAGCCAAGGGTGCGATAGACATCCGAATCTTTGGAGACAAGGTTATACTCGACGAAGGTATGCCGTCACGACTAAAGCGCGCATTGTCATCGGACAGTGCTCAAATTTGCACATGTTCTCCACAGATGTCGAGAGCTGGCCCCGCTGCGATGTCCTCATCTCCTTCTTCTCCACCGACTTTCCGTTGGACAAGGCAATATCTTACGTCAAGCTCCGCCTGCCGTTTTGCATCAACGACCTGTCGCCTCAGGCACTCCTTTGGGACCGCAGGCTCGTCGGCTCGGTGCTAGACCACCTAGGCATACCCACGCCACGCCGCTTGGAAGTATCCCGTGATGGCGGGCCCAAAGTCGACGAGGAGCTCCGCGTGTTCATGAAAAGACGCCTCGGCATCTCACTTGGAGGCTTCCGGGTGACACCTGAGGTGACCATGAGTGAGGACGGCGATGCCATCATCGTTGACGGCCAGGTGATGCGCAAGCCGTTCGTCGAAAAGCCTGTCAGCGGCGAGGACCACAGCGTGTACATTTACTTTCCCGGAGGGCATGGCCGTCGCCTGTTCCGAAAGGCACGTTTATTTCTCCCTCACCTGATGACGTCCGTTAATGCTCACCTGCCAACCGATCTCACTTCAGGTCGGCAACAAATCCAGCGAGATTGACCCTAACCTCACGTCTCCTCGTACCGACGGGTCCTACATTTACGAAGAATTCGTCGATGTCGACAACTCGGAGGACATCAAAGTCTATACCGTTGGGAAAGACTACACACACGCGGAGACACGCAAGTCCCCTGTGGTTGATGGCGTTGTCAGACGAAACACGGAAGGCAAGGAAATAAGGTTAGCGCACCCCGCTATCTACCCCCGTTATGTCCTACTGACCGTCGGCGTGCTTATCTACTCTGCTCATCACGGACCCGGCTCCCATAAATTGCCCCAGGTTCATTACGCGCCTGACCGACGAGGAGCGATCCTGGGCGGCAAAGATTAGCCAAGGTTTCGGACAGAGGGTCTGCGGTTACGACATGCTGCGCTGCGATAGTGGCAAGCGGAGTCAAGTCATCGACGTCAACGGGTGGAGCTTCGTGAAAGGGAACGAGTCGTACTATGGCATGTATCAACCACTCCTGTCCTCCCACCATCCGCTGCTAATCCTTTCCCCTGCTTCGCAGACAAGGCCGCCGAGATCCTCGCGAACCTCTGTCTCCAGGTCGCGTCCTCCCCAGAGCGGCCGCTGGGCAGCAGCGCAGCCGAGGCACCGCCCACGGAGGCGACGACGACGTGGCTGCTCAAGGCGAACGTGACCGTTTTCCGCCACGCAGACCGCACGCCGAAGCAGAAGCTCAAGTTCAACTTCCCGATCGGCGAACGCTGGACGGCGCCGTTCGTGCGCCTGCTCAACGGCGAGAAGGAGGAGATCATCCTCCGCGAGCGCGCGCAGCTGAGCCTCATCGCGACCGCGGTCGAGGAGGCCAAGGGCCTCGGCGCGAGCGGCGACGACCTCGCGAAGCTCACGCAGCTCAACAACGCGCTCTTCAGCAAGATCGACCTCCCCGGCACCAAGGCGCAGCTCAAACCTGTGTACTCGAAGAAGCAGCCGGGGCAGATGAGGAACCTGACGAAGCTCACGCTCGTCTTCAAGTGGGGCGGCGAGGTGAGACGGGCTCTGTGTGAGAGGGGAGACGCGCTCACGGGCCTTTTCTAGTTCACCCATTCTGCCAGGTACCAGTCGCGGGACCTTGGTGAGAACATGAAGAAGGACATTTCCATCATGAGTGCGTCTGTCTCTCTGCCCAATGGCCCTCGCGCTAACATCACCGATCTGCTAGACAAGGAGGTCCTGAAGAACGTCAAGGTGTGCCCCCTCTTGCGCCTGCTCTCCAAACCATCTCAACGCCGTGGCCCTGCTAGATCTACACCTCCTCCGAGCGCCGCGTCGTCGCCTCCGCCGAGATCTTCGCCGCCGCGCTCTCTGACACGGGCCGGGACAGCAGCTACAGCGTCGCTTCGACGCCCACGCGCTCCGCCGTCGATGTCTCGAGCCCCGCCGGGCCGCAGGGGCAGTCGCAGAAGCGCGACTCCTCGGCCGCCTCCGGCAGTGGTGGCCGTGTCCCGAAGCTTATCGTCCGCAAGGACCTGCTGGACGACTCCAATGCTGCCAAGGATCTCATGGACGACGTCAAGAAACGGTTGAAGATCCTGCTTCGGCCAGGTGAGCCCGAGAAGCGTCCCGAGCTCACGTGGCCGAAGAGCATGAAGAAGGAGCCGGTGGAGGTCGTGAAGGTGTGTGCGGCATCGTCTTGTGTCTGGCAAGCGACCGCTAATGCGGGACACCCCCTCCCCTTCCCCCTTCGCAGGAAGTGATCGAGCTGCTCTCCTCCTTCCGCGAGATCATGCACCGCAACTGGGAGCGCATGGACGTCGACAAGATCCAGGAGCGCTGGTGCTGCGGGGACGAGCCCTGGCTGTTCCGGGAGCGGTGGGAGAAGCTCTTCGAGGACTTTTGCGACGTGAAGCAGGAGAAGTTCGACCCCTCGCGCGTCTCGGAGCTGTACGACACGATCAAGTACTGCGCGCTGCACCACCGCACCTTCCTCTTCGCGATCTTCAACGAGACCGGCGACGCGCCGCCCGACGGTGGGCAGCAGCCGCAGGACCGCCGGCTGCACGAGCTCTACGCGCGCGCCAAGGCGCTCTTCGACCTCGTCGCGCCGCAGGAGTACGGCATCGAGCCCGAGGAGAAGGAGGAGATCGGCGTGCTGACGTCGCTCCCGCTCCTCCGGAACGTCGTCGGCGACCTCGAGCGCGCGCGCAACAACGAGGAGAGTTCGCTCACACTCTACTTCACGAAGGAGAGCCACATCCACACGCTCGTCAACCTCGTCCTCCTCTCGGGCGTGCCCATCGTGAACAGGCGGATACCCGAGCTGGACTATTGCGTGAGTGGCACGTTTTTGGCGTGCTTAGTGATCTACGATTCTCTGCGCCTACTGACTGAGCAAACGCCCTCTCTCCTCCAGTCACACATCACCTTCGAGCTGTATGAGCGTAACCATGGCCGTGGCAAGTCAGACAAGGAATACTCCATCCGGCTGTCGATCAGCGAGGGCGCGCACTCGTCCAACGTCCTCGACTCGGCGCTTGACGCTCGGCATTCGCTGAACGTCCAGCCTCGACGGAAGCTGACGCAGCACCTGCCGTACAGCCTCGTCATCGAGAAGCTCTCGAAGCACTTTGGGCGGGCCATGGAGGTACGCAAGCTTCATGCTTAGAATCGCGTCGGCGTGATGGCTGACTGAACGCCGCAGGACGATGATACCGACAAGGAGTCTCCGTACGAGGCTATCGTCCCCTTGACGGCAAGCCCCACCGAGAGTTCTGCGGACGAATTCAGGGACTAACTCCTCATGCTTTCCATCCTGTCCCCTACTCCTCCACGGACCATAACCCAACCCACTTTCCTAGCTCACTTTCCTAATCCACTTTCCTAGCCCAGATCGCACATCACTATGTAGCTTGTCCCGCGTCGGACGGGCTACACCACAAACTCCCAAGTATCATAGGCACTCATGACCTAGAGACGAAGCACGCACAGTCGCGCTCGGACAACCGGACAGATAAACAGTAGAACCCACCGGAATGCGTAACATAAGCCCAAGTAGTCTGTACTTACATGGTATAATCTGTATCCTACTCCAAGATATCCTATAGATCGCATTCACCACCTCGAGTCGTGCAGGTCAGACATGGGTCGGCGCGGGGCGCGGGTCTTCCCACTCCTTGAGGCCGAGCTTGGCGCGGAGCGCAGCGAGCTGCTCGGGCCGGAGCTCCTTGAAGAGCAGTTCGTGCGTGCCCTTGCCCGCCATCGACGGGTGGTCCCTGTCGAAGAGCGCGGACGCGGACTGCGAGAGCATGGATGACTGCGTCGCGAGTGCGGCGAAGGACGATGTCGTGTCGTGGTACCTTCAATATCGCAACAAAACAAAACAAAAAAGTCAGCTTCTGGGTTTTCGCGCTTGAGACGGTGGGCAAGGGCGGACGCACAGTCTGCGGAGGAGGATGTGTTCAGAGATCAGAGGGCGGGGGAAAGGACAGGTTGTGTGGGGTGCTCACCGGAAGGCCTCCTTGTTCAGACAGTCCGCCTCCTGTATGTCGTCGAGCGCGTGCTTCTTGAACGCCGCCTTCACCCAATGGAGGACGTCAAACACATGGTGCTCCTTCGGCCTGCCAAAAAAAGGCCGTCGCTCAGCACGCCGTGCCCCACTCTCTCTCGAATAAGTGTGCACGCACCTCCACGGCGCAAAGTGTGGCGCGAGACTGAACGTGCCGTCCTGCTGGGACACGAGCGGGTGGAAGACGTCTGTGAGGAACTGCACCGCCGGCGCGTGTTCGGGGTAGTCGGGCGGGAAGACGACACGGAACTTGAGGACCGAGTCTGTGTAGTAGCCTGGCTGCGCCGGGGCGCTGTCAGCGTCCACGGTCGGAAGGGAGGACGAGAGAGGAGGACACGCACCTTGGTGCACAAAGAAGACCGCGTCCCACACGTCGAGGCCCTCCGCGCAGGGCGCGACATACATCCCGAGCGGGCAGTGCCCCGCGTGCCGCAGCGCGGCATACTCGAGCGCGAGCGTGCTGCGCGCGAGCACGCCCGGCCCCCGTTCCTGTGGCGCGGGCGGGATGCTCGTGGTGCTTGTGCGGGTCGGCGCGCGCGAGTGCGTGCGCGACTTGGGCGAGGCGAGGTCGCGCGGCGGCGAGGAGACGAAGCCGCCCATCATCTCGCTCTTCATCGAGCGCAGGTCCCGGTTGAGCCTGTCGGTCGTGTCGTCGATGAAGTCCAGCACGCGGTGGGAAAGCTCGCTCATGGTGGTAGTCGTTTTCTCACCTACAAAGCGCTCACACGACAGCACATGCACTCCGAGTCGCAGCCATGGCAATCTGTTATGTACATTCGGTTCGTAATCGTGTTCGTTATTCAGTTCCATAAATACAGTCGTGACGTGTCTGCTACTCAATGTATGTATAGATGAGTAGGCGCGAAAGTAGTACAGTGTGGAACGAATGTGGGCATGGTAATTTTCTACAAATAAGTGCGTAGGGCGATAGGCAGGATATTAGGTGGCCTATAGAGTAGCACATGCTCTTAAAGATGAAAGTGTAATGCAAAAGTCCTCGTGAAGGTCACTTGTGTATGGAGAAGGAAGAGAGTGCAGGAGTCGTCTACGCGTGTACCTTGAGGGTAGTCGGGATCTCGAGCTTTGCCGCCGCCTTGTGATGCTCGGCCTCCTCAGCCTCCTCCCGTTGTGTCTCCTCTACAATGTTGGCCCATGAATGGTCAACCTGCTGAAGGAACCAAAGCAAGTCAGCCTCGCGATTACTCGGGCCCAGGTAAGAATAGAACTCACGCGCTCCTGGAACTGCTTCTCGCGCTGGCCGTGTGTCAGGACACCAGCACCAATGATGACACCAATGGTGAGGCCCTGCGCCCACATACGCGCCTGGACGATCTTTTGCGGCATTGTCTGGTGGCGGTTCGCCATGACGATGACGCCGGCGACGGCCATGGAGGCAGCCCAGCTGCCGACGATGACCTTGTACTGGTTGTGCATCGCCCATTCCTTGAACTTGCCCACCGCCGAGAGGGATTCCCAGTGCTTCTCCTCCTCGCTTTTGGCGCGCCTGAGCTCCATGGCACCGGCACCTGTCCATGTCGACTCGTCGAACTCGACACCACGGCGCTCGGCCTGGACGGAGTAGGCGGGGATGATGATGAGGATGGCAGCAAGGGCCTTGAGTTGTGGTGGCATGCGACGGAACGCGGGCCACTTCTTGTTGGCGTAGTAGCCGAGCGGGCCAGCGATAGCCACACCGGCGAGGACACCCTCGATAGCACCACGGATGGTCGCATTCTGGTGGCCATCGAGCTCTTCCTTGGTAGCAAGCTAGAAAACGACATCGTTAAATTCTGGGGCTAGCAGGTCAGGGTCGGGCTCAATTACCTTCATGTTGTTCTAGTGTTGAAGTCTGGAGGGTACTTTTGAGAGCTCTAGACGAGCTGAGAGGTGTTGGTTGCGAAGAGGGTAGATAAGCCGATCGCTCCGGACCGGTTAAGTAGTGGTGGATGGGCTGGCAGGTGTAAGACCTGAGTTGAGTGAGGACGACGGGAGGAGCGACGTATTATGTTTTATAAAGGTGTAGGCGGAAGCTGGCTGAGGCTAGGCTGTTGTCAGCACGGGGTAATTCGTTGATCTGGAACCACATAAATCTGTAAGCGTACCGGGTGGGCCCGGGTTCGCCCTCCGAATCGTCCCCTTAATAGATCGAACAAAGCCTATTGGTATTGTTTTTGCGGAACATGGCCGCCTACGACACACAAGTTGTCCTGAGAGGACTGGCAAGGTATATTTACCGCCAGCCCTCGCGGCGGAAGTGCGGCTGGTGCCTCGGAACGGGCGCCGGCTTACACTTCGTGGGACCCAAATTGGTCAGGTCACGCTAAGCGAACCCCAGGATGGCAGCTCTGAGAATGGTGGCGTTGATCCGCTCACAGCACGGAGCAGGACAGCCGACGCGAAAGTCACCGGGAAGTGACCGAGTCCTCCGTCGCACGACGTCAAGACTCAAGAGCACGGCGCAGACCCTCAGAAATTCGGCCGCTCACGGCGATATCGCATACAGCACGAGGTCACTGCCAAGTCACCGAAGCCCGAGTACCTATTTCCAGATACAGCCTTCCAATACAAATTCCCCAGACACCATTGCACGACAAGACGACGCTTTTGTCCACCACTGGTTCCTGTCCACGGTGCTCATCCGTCGGTGAATCCAGTCCAGAGCCGATATTAATCTATTTCTGTCAGCATTGCATTCGCGGCTGCGGGGTTGACACCAGGCTATCTATATGCTGATGCATATCCACTGATGCAGTGTGCGCACCGCAAGGCTCACTACGGTTCATTTCGCTTCCCCGTCCAACCCGCATACACAATCGACCGACAAGCGATGAGACGATCAGCTCGTCCTCCAGCAGCACCAAGAGTACTGCCGTCATTCGGATGTTCTGTGGACGTATGCTTGTGGAGAATCGTCCGATTCAGCCGTGATGTTATCAGTAATATGCACTTTGGCACATGGCAATACGATGTCTCACATAGAGCGCACCTAGCTGGGCTAGCTAGGTCCCATCTCGTCAAAAACACTGCGAGATCGCCTTCCCTCAGTGCACTCTGCGGGCCCGAGGCGATGATCACAGAAATACGCTTGGGATTGACTGTATGCAGAGCTCTCCCACCGGTCTGCCTCCGCCTTTGATGTACATGTACCACGGTGGTCTGGCGAATACATATAAATTTAGCTGCACTCACCTGCCTGTGAGAATGTGAACTCCATGCTCGCACCCAGCGAGGCCGCAACCGTGAGAAACCAACCCGAGACACGTCTCTCCCTTACCATCGGTGTGGCATGCCACGTACTTTCATCCAGTTCTCCATGCCAATGTACCAGTGCGTGAGAGTCGGCAACAGAATGGCGGCCTACGGCGCACCCGGAAATAAAGGAAACCGGACTCTGTCCAGCGCGCCGCCACCCCAAGATGCCCACACTTCTCTGCCGGTACCGTTCACATCGCCTCGTCCGTCGGTATAAAGTCCCTTCGGCGACCTCCTCTGCGACGAGAGTCGATTACGAGCACCCGACGCTGCCCGCGCAATCCCCAACACGCCATCTGACTCTCGCCATCTGTACACGGGCCCTCCAGCGGCTCTACCTAGGCCGTACCTCGCACACTTGAAGGCTTGCGCAGTCGCTTTCTTTCTTCCACCACCATCGTCGCCAGCACTAGTGCTGTGAAGCTTCCCCGTTCGGAGTGTAATTGTTAGGATGGCCGTCAGCGTTGAGAGGATCGTTTTCTTGTCTTTGGTATTAGACCTGTTTGGTACGTCATGAAGTTGCGCTTCGACACGACCCTGCGCGCTGACTCTGTTGCCACGCAGCGTTCACGATCCCCCTTCCACTATTCCCAAGGATTATCGAATGGTATACGATAGTGCGTGCTCCTGACTTCTGCTCTGCATCCATACAACTCAAACTCTGAACGTTACTGTAGAGAGAATCTTCAGATCCAAGCGGTTTCCTCTCGAGGACATTATGGGCCGTGTCAACAATACGGAGCTTCTTTTACGAGCCAAGAGGGAATCCTAAGAAGTGGGATGTTGTTCTACTAGGTATGCATTGCACAGCTACTTCGTTAAAAATAGCGACTCTAATCCCTCAAAGGCGGCCTCATGGGCTCTGTCTTCTCGTTAGTACGATCCTATACTTGAAAGCAGAAGGGAATACTTATGCTGTAACGATGGACACAACAGGGCACTGCAATGGTACGGCATTCGCAAATGCTGCCTCGAGAGAATTGCTCACAGCATCCTAGGCTTGTCTCTCCGCACATAGGCTCGCTCAGTGACAAGTATGGACGGAAGCGCATCCTACTGATCACGATGATCGGAAACATCCTCTCCGCTCTTGTGTACGTCTTGACCATCTCTCTGCGGCATGCAGTTACTAATTCGCTACGCAGCTGGATACAATCTTCATCCTTCGCATCGTACATGCTCTCGCGCGTTATTGGAGGACTCAGCGAAGGCAACGTGCAGCTAGCTATGTAGGTCCCTCCCCGTTCTTCGCCCTTGTTGCAAACTTAATCATTTCGTTCCTGTAGTGCTATTCTCTCAGATATCACTACTGCTGCAAACCGATCTAAAGCCCTCGCGCACGTCGGCATCGCATTTGCCATCTGCTTCTGCATCGGCCCCCCGATCGGTGCCTACTTCGCTTCGAGGCCCCTCCCATCCATGACATTAGGCTCTTTCGAGCTTAATGTCTACGCCACGCCTGCGCTGCTCACCCTGGTTCTTCTCGTTCTGGAGACTGTCTTCCTCATCGTCGCGCTCCCGGAAACAAGGGGCAAGCGGGCACAGGTCCCCGCGTCCGAGAAGAAGGCCGAAGCGAACGGACACACAAACGGACATGCTAACGGCCACGCAAATGGAAATGGCGTCGCGAAGAAGGCCGAAACGAACGGCAAGGCGAGCGGAAGCGCACCCCCCGCCCCGAAGTACACTGTTGAGCAGAGACTCAACCTCCTCGGCATCCTGCGCAACCTGCACTTCCTCTTCCTGGGTATTTTCTCCGGTGTCGAGTTCACGCTGACGTTCCTCACCTTCGACTGTGAGCTCTACCCTTATACATGCGATTCTATGCGCCTCGAGCTAACGTCCTGTCAAAGTGTTCGACTGGGACAACAAGCAGAACGGCGCCCTCATCGGCTCCATCGGCATTGTCAGCGCCTTGCTGCAGGGCGGCTACGTCCGGCGCGCGATGTCCAAGACGGGCGAGGGCAAGATGGCGCGGCGCGGCGCGTCGGCGTGCGCGCTGGGCCTCGTGCTGCTCGCGCTCGTGCCGCCGAGCATCGCGCGCCAGCGCACGCTCGCCGTCGCGCTCCTGCGCGCCGCGGCGGTGTGCATGGCGTTCACGTCCGCGACGGTCGTGAACGCGCTCACGGCGTACGCGTCGCTGCAGTGCGACGACGGCGGCGTCGACGCCGACACGGGCAAGGTGCGTGAGGAGCACCCCGAGCTTGCCAAGGGCAAGGCCCTCGGACGCTTCCGCTCCTCTGGGCAGCTCGGACGCGCGATTGGCCCGCTGCTTGGTACGTCTCCCCCTGTGCTCTTGGGTTCTCATGGTGGTGCTGACGCTATGACCCTGCAGCGTGCGCGTCGTACTGGACCTTTGGCCCCGCAATCACGTATGCCATCAGTGCTGGGGCGATGATGGTGCTGTCCTCTACAATGAAGAAGATTGCCAGCCGGCGGCCAACATAAGGATGGGGTTGATTTCAGACTGCGGAGAAAGTACACGCTCTAGCTACGTATCTGTGGTATTTATGGCACAAAGGATTAATCGAGTATCTTTATTTTCGACTTTCAATGAACCTACGCCACGTATGGTCGTGCTTGCATCAGAATCAGTAAGTATCTGTTCAGCTGAGAGCATGCCGCAGTCTTCCACATGATAATCGCGCCGGCGCGAGTGCAGCACCACAACGACTCGGAAGGGTCATCTCCGCGCTCGTGCTGCTTGACAATGCGACACAAGCACCAAGCTCGGGGTTGTCAGCAGGTCTCAGTGTCCAAGCACAGCACCGGCCGGCGATCCTGGTAATGGCGAAACGGCCTCTCTTGTCAGACCGTCGTGTGATGGCAGCCGTCCTTGTCTATCAGAGTCCGCTGCCGAGCCGAGACGTCCAGCTACCCTGGTCCGCGCATACGCGGAGGGTCGCAGCCATGCACGCTCGTCGCACCAGCGCACACTGCCTCGGCTGGCCATGCACGCCGCCCGTCCGTCGAGGCACGTTCCAGCTGTGCATCCCAGTCTTCTTCGCACGCAAATAAGCTCGCCGCAGCACCCCCGTATCTGGCCATCCCGTCGCTGCGGTTTCGATTTTCAAAACAGGCCGAGTCTCCTTTTTCCCATGCAGGACTGTGCCTTTACCTTTTTATTGCCGTGTCGCGCCGGGAAACGCTGGAAAGCGTCACATGCATGTCCATATCACCGTGCTACAGTCGTGCCTGGGAGCGAGCTCCAAGAGATGGTGGTGAGATAGAGCAGCGTGCACGCTGCGCAAACGCTGCGTGTGTGGGACTCGCCCTTGGACTCACCTCAAACGAGGGACTAGTGGTGTTCGGGGACTGTTCGAAGACTGTGCGAGCCTCCTCCCGCGGCCAGAGAGAAGAGTGGCATGGAGGTCTCAAAGGGTATCAGACGGATTACGACTCCCGCGCGTTCCCGGCACACAGCGGCGCAACAGAAGCGTATCATGGAGTTTGAACTGTGTTTGTGATTTGTGCGATATGACGCGCAAGGTAGGAAACATGCAGGTGCAGACAGAGTTATGCTACTATGGAGCTAGTAAGAAAGTTTATATATGATACGCAGCAAATAAAAAGAAGTGTCCTGTGTGCACAAGTCCTCGCAGCCAGGAAGGAATATAAACGAGTGGACGTGCAAGGCCGCTGTGTTTCGCAGGGCTGTCATCACAGGGTGAGATTTGGAATACGCCTACGGGTGGCGTACCGATTGCACCCAGGTGAGACTAGGCCTCCGAAACCGTGGTGCGAACGCACAGGGCTGAAAATACGTGGGGTGAAGGGTATATCGTGTGATCGTTTTCGTGTTGCTCTAACCAAAGAGAAGCAGATGCCCCGGCCGCGTTATCTCGATGAACGGGACAGGTAAATGAGACTCCCAAGGGTCCATATCGCCCAAAGCGTGCAGCTCCTACCAACCTCCCTCGTCCCGTTCCGACAACCCCCCCGGCTGGCTCCAAGCAGAAATAGTACACATTTGACGGGTTCTCAGGCACGGCAACAACCCATAGCAGCGCTCGACCAGGCACCGCATGCCTTAGCTGAGCAGGGTCTGTGGCGTGGTTCAGCACATTGTGGAGGCATCTGGCGACGTCGATGACGACGCTCGCAAGTCATCGTAGGGTGGTGGCACAAGCAGGCGGCTCGCGCTGTGTATGCCTTCGTCGTCCTGGCCTCGGTATCGTGGCTTATCGGGAGGGTACTCCGTGGAAATGGGCTCCCTCGAGCTGCTGCGCAAGAGCTGGCTACCTCGTGAGAGACTTCGCGGGATACTCCTCTCAGAAGGCAGCTCAATGTTGCCGGTTGATGGCGTGAAGAATGCGGGGAGGAAGAATAGTACTCCCCGGCTGCGCCTCAATCGTCGTGACCGCGACGGCGAGCCAGGAGTCTCGGAACTACGTGAGAAGTAAGACATGACGCCGTTGGCGGCGCGTCGCATTGTACCGACAACCGAATAACTGGGTGGTGGACTCGTAAAGGAAGCCTCCGAAGGAGTTGGACTTGAGGGAATATCGAGAGAGAGCGGGAGAAGATGGACTTCCTCATCTTCGTCGGATGACGTGACGGAAACGGGGGAGGCGGGAGGGTGCGGCGTGTTTGACGATGATGATGGGAATGCGAACCAGCCGAGATCGAGATACCATCGCTGGTTGCGCTTCTTCCAGCGAGGCATCATCACATCGTAGCCACCAATGCGGCCGAGACTGTACTTCCTCTGTCGGGAGTGAGGGGCCAGTGCCAGCCTGACCAACCCGCCAACGAGAACCACCAGCCCAACCCACATGAGCACCTTGCCCCAATGGCCCAAAAAGCCAATGAACGCAGCATCATCCGCATGCCAACTGCTACCGTAGTAGTGGGAGAAGAACGTATGCGGCGCTTCTTCCGGTAGAGCGTTCTTGCCGTAGAGTGATTTGGGCAAGATGCGAACTTCGCCGCCTGGGTATTCGGGAGTGGCGGGATGAGCAGAGGTCCATGCGCCGTACTGAGCAGAGAGGAACATGGGGCCAGTCGAAAACATGACCGTGGGGTAGTTAAGGATCCATGAGTGGTCCCAAGCGACGAGATTGCCCATCGTCTGAGCCATAAACGGGTGGTTCTTCTCGGCGAACATGAGGTCGTTGGACACTCCGACAGGGATGGTGCGAGGGAGAATCACGGGGTAGGTGAGGAGGGAGTCCATGGGCCGCTGGCAGCCAATGTCCAAGTCGATGTACACTCCGCCATAATGGTAGAGGACGAAGTAGCGGATGGCATCAGCCCTCTGGATGGGGTATGTGTAGCCGTCGAAGGTATCGAGGAACCAGGGGTACTCCTTCGCGATAAACTCACGTGAGCTTGCGTCTGTCCAGAGCATGTACTCGCTGATAGGGAGGAATGTGCGCTTTGAGAAGACTGAACAAGTGGCAAAGCGTAACGAAAACTCACTAGTCAGGCATGATATCCTGGCAGTGCTGAGAGATTTTTGTCCATTTTTTAGGCAACGTCTCCGACTTCCAGGTCTGGTGAATGATGCGAGGGACACGCTCTACTTTTCCATGCTGTGAAGCATTCCATCTCGAATTGTCGAATGGTGCGTCAAGCTCCTCCTCCGTGATGTAGGCAGCGGGGTCGATGTTGAGATAGTAGGAGATGGAGGAGAGGACGACGACGGTGCCGACGAGAACGGCCGCGAGAAGGCAGAGGCATACGTAAACCGTTCGACGGCGGGCCATAGTGATAGGTAGGGACGAGAAAGAAAGAAAAGAACGGTTGAAGGGGAGAGCAGCTGTTTAAGAAAGTGAAACGACCAGGCACTGGAGAGAGGAGTCCTGCGCGTGCTTTGTTTACTCACACCGCTGCACAGCCCACATTTCCTATCCTGGCGGTGCCAGCGGTGGGCGCCAGGAGGCGGACAGCGGGACCATCGTGATTGTGTGTACGCGAGCATGGCAGCAGACGCCCGCAGCCAGCTGCGCACTTGTGGGGGTCCGGTACCGCTTTTATGCCACGTCTGACAACATACAACGGCAGCGGACACTCGCAGCACATCCTCTCCGTCCCGCAATCCCATTGACCAAAAGCCCCGGCCGTCCACCCCAGGTGCTCTCCGATCCTCAACCATGCTTGACCAAGCAGAACGCAATCGCCTCGGTACCGTATTTACCACACGATCCTTTTAGAGTAAGCGAAAATAAAACTCCCCCGCGTCTCCCATGCCCTCGCTCGTTAACGCCTTCTGGGTTCTTAAAACCGTCGTTTAGATCCCTGTCGGGCGTAGCCGTGTGTTAAACACATCTGTCACATGTGGTCGCAACTCTGTCAGAGATAGCAGCACCAGTCCGTCCTCAAACTGCCTTCCGATGTCCTCGAGCGCGTCCAAACAGTTCTCCCAGGCCTGGCGAGGCCAATCCTGTCCCCTGCGCCATCCACGGTCCTCGCTCCTCCGGAGCAGGAACATCTGCAGCGGCGGCTGCGATTTTTCGACAGCCTTCTTCGACTCCAGGTACTCCACGCAGTCACGCACGTTCCACGATCGGAAACCCTTCCGCCGATGCTCAGGGGCGTGTGGAGACCGAGCCGGTGGCCCATCGTCTCCGGCTTCGTGGCGCACCCGCTGTGCCAGCTCGGCGAGCACGACGGTGAAATGGTCAATGATCTGAATGTGGAGCGCGTCCAGTGCGTGGCTGGGCACCCAGCTCTCCGTCCCCGCAGCAGCGCCGTCGTCGTCGACGTCCATGCCGTCGGGTTCGTCCGCCTTGGGCCCCTCTGTCTGCGCGAGGTGATGCGTCTGGCTCAAGCGCGTGGGGCGGTACCGCGGGGCGTTCTCGTGGACGCGGAAGGGGCTTACATCCAGATGCTCCCCAAACAGTTTCGCGGCGAGCTCGCGGCTGGACAGCAGCCGTCTGCCCGGTGCTACCGTCGGTATGCCTGCCGTTTGCGTGTCAGCACAAGTATGATCCGCGCGCCGGCCCGACATACGTGGTTCTTCATTCTCACAAAGGGTCTGAAGGTTGATGTCGTTGGACAGGAGTACGACCTCGCCCTTCGTCTTATAGTATTGACAGCAATCCCATATGGTAATGTCGGCCGAACGAGCTTGTTCGTGTTCATGTAGTTGTGTGTTCACTGTCTCGGAGCGCGCTTGCACCTTCAAAGATTTCTTTTCCTTCACCTTCTGCAACAGAAAGGTTGACGCTGTTCGAGCGAACCAAGAAAGCCCCTCGCGCTTCTTGAGTCTAGGCAGCCGTCGCTCAGCGACACAGAGTACCGGAGACCGCGCACTGGCACTCACCCGTCCAACTCCGAGAGAACAACATAGGGTACAATGATCTTCATGGACCACGGCAGCGCGATGTGGTCCAGGTCTTCACTGAAGGAGCGAATAACATTCAGATTGTCAATCAGAACGTTCGTGTCGAGCACGAGGTACAATGTCGGGCCTGCATCCACAGGTTCCTAATCGTACCCAGAAGTCAGCACCGGCCCTCGCCGCAAGCGACATGTATGCATACCAGCATTTCCACATCGTTCGCGGCATTCGTGATCCTTGCGAGGGTATCATCTTTCACGCGAACAGCTGTGGGGCCATGTAAGTGAAATCCATCAGAATACAGGTCAAGGTAGACGACTAACAGTCGGCGCCATGGACGGCGGATGGCTGCCAGGACGATGCGCCGGCAGCCGAGTGGCGGAGCTGTGAAGGGTGAACAGCAAGCATCAGAAGGAAACGCACCCTTCAGACTGCAATTCCGGATATTACTATGTGGTGCAACGGAGCACAGCTTGGGCGATGAGGGCGAGAAGGGAGTAGGGGCGTAATGACGAGAGGGGCAGGTGGTGGTCAAGGTCAGATCTCAAAAACAGGCAACAGCGATTGGACGCGTGCCGTAATGTGGCAATTTGCATACTTAACACCTGAGTTCGAACAATTTCTATGTGAACCGACCTTGCATTCCTGCTAGACTGTGTAGGATGGTACAAAATGCGAGGGGATGTAATGTAGATAGAATAATGTAGACGTATAAAAAGAGGCGAGCAGAGGAATAAGCCGAAAAGAAAACAAACAACACAGTACCGAGGCTACTGCCGTCATGAGGATATCGCTAGCTTCTTCGATGGTGGTGTCAAGCTCGTTCGCTCTTGGTCCTTCGCTATCACCTCATCGTCTTCAGCTTTCCGCTTCGTACCCACCATGGCTTTGGTCGGCGACCCCGGCGGTGATCGCGACAGTCGTGACTTTCCGTCCTCATGTGCTGTCCGTGCGCTTTCAGGTGTCCGCGACCTGCTGCGGCTGCCAGAGATCTCAGATCGCAAACGCGAGGCTAAAGTTGTTTTTGATGACATGGCTTCGGCGTGGCAGGTAGCGTGATATATCTGGACGCGACGACATGGTTCAGAGCAAGGTCGTGGAGTTAGTGAGGCGATATATCGACGCACCCTATCATCTTTCTTAACCGCATTGCGCCACACCCACTCCTCGTCGTCCTCCATAAACTCAGACTTCAGAGTCTCCTTACAGATCGGACATGATATGGACTTGGCCTCGTCACCAGGCGGAACGACAACGAACATCGCTCGCAACTCAGCGTCACGCTTGGCAGCCTCCTCAGCCGCAAGTGTCTTTCCATTCACGCGAGAGCCATCAGCACGACCTTTGCCTTTGGTATCTACCGCTCCGTCATGCAACCAGTCCTGTAAGAGAGGTGAGTGAGCAACTGTGCGAAGGTGATAGGAATGAGAAGAGCATACGTCAATATTGACAAACCAACCGCGGCTATACCCACGGCCAACCGCCTGACTCGCCTTGCGGTTTTGGTTGAAGTGCATGTCCAAGTGATCTTGCATCTTCTTCTTGCCGGTAGCATCACCAGGGAATCGAATACCACATTGCTTACATTGACTGGGCAAACTTTCGTACAGGAACTTGGTGATCGGTGGGCGCTGTCTGCTGGCGATGTGAGCAGCCGCATCAAAGACAAACGATCGAGAGGACTTACTTGATGATGTCGGTGCTCGTCAGCCGGATATTGACAGATAAGATAGCATTCCGATATTCCTGTGTAGTGTCCTTGGCATCAGTGGATGGCGTACTCTCCCGCGCTTCTGTGCTGGAACCGGCGCCGACAGGTGTGCCCGACGACGACAGAACCCCCGACTTGAGTAGCGAGCTCAATATTGAGGAGATGTTGGAAGGGACAACAGATGCAGTAGAGGAACCGGCAGCCGACGACGTAGATGCCACTGGCTGAGTTGGTGGGACCGGTGCAGGAGCTGCCTCAGTCTTGACAGGAGGATACACAGCAGAGTATGATGGCTGAGGCAGATATGATGGCTGCACAGGTGGATAGGCGGGCTGAACGGGGGGCTGAGTAGCAGGTGCTGGTACTTGATATGGTACTTGTGGTACATGGGGCGTCGGTGCTACATGCTGGTGTACAGATGGTTGTGCAGGAGACATCGTACGCAGCTGGGTGAGAATCTGTGCTAGCTCTTCTTGCGAGACACCGGTTTGCACAAGCTTCCGGAGCTAAGAAGCTCGCGTTAGCGCGGACAACGACAAGAGCGGGAGAACGGACGACGTACCTGGTATAAAACTGAAACGTGGTTCTGCGTCTGTTTATCGTACGGATTCGTCTGCAAGGAGCGTTGCTTTGCACTCAGCACGAACTCGAGTTCGCTGAGGACTTGAGCCGCAGAGACAGGGCTATCTCTTGACGACTGATTGATGGAGGAGTCAGACGAAGGTAGAAACGACCATGAGGTATTGTGAGGACGACGTACCCCTTGAGTAGACTCCCCGCCCCAGATTTGTCGTTCGATGGCCACTTGAGCGATAGGGCCGAACAGCTCTCGCCCATTAGGAGCGCCAGTTCGCCAAGTTAAGAGCATCTCTTCCATCTTGCCGCGAGTGCTTTGGTCGACCTGCTCATACGTGTCGAGGAACAGCTTGACGACGACGGAGTTGAAATGGCGAGCATAGGGCTCGTACACATTCTTCGAAATGGCATCAAGGAGGTAGAAGGCGGGCAACTTCATCCATGGCGGCACCTGACGTGGGATTAGTCAGCTACACCGTGAGACTTCAACACAGAGGAAAGAGGAGAAGGGGGCAAGGTGCGATTGGATAGCAGAGAAATGGGGACAGAGGCTGACATGGGTATAGACACAGGACGGTCCTCAGACGACCACAGTAGGCGTGGTAAGGTAGGACAGCTACCCATCGAACCGCTGAGACCCGCGCATCTTTTACTCATGCCGCTCATAGTTATACTACGTACATGCAAGACACTACTACAAGACTGAGACATGGAGAAGCACCAGAATCACTTCATGCTATCCAGATCGCATGACAAGCAAAGAACATGAGTGAGAAGGGGATAGAGCGGATGACTCACCCGTCGGATGTGCTGCTCGATGCAGCTGACGACGATATCGGCGTAGCGAGAATATTCCTGTGCGATCATTGACAAGGTCTGAATGATTGGCCTAGAGTTGACGGTCAGGTCAGCGAGACGTGCTACATAATCCCGACGGAAATAGTTGGGATCGGCATAGTAAACGTGCTGGGGGGTTGGTGGGGGAGGAGGTTGCTGATAGTAGCTCGATGGCGGCAAAGGATGTTGGGGGTACGTCTGAGCAGGATAGGACATGTGGCCGTAGGCCTGACTCTGGGGATAAGTCGCCATCGTCTGAGTACTCAATGAATAACAGCCGCGCCGTCGAGTGGATCTCAACGAAACTTCAGGTCTTCAGTCAAGAACGATGATTGTCGATCGCTGGTGGGGAAAGCAAGCTGATCGTAACGATGCCTTTCTATAGAGGCTCTTACAGCTGCTCACAAGCAGAGACAGCCGGGGGACAGCAAACTGCACAGAGAAGTCGATGGTCAAGGTGTGAAAAACGTTGCCCGTCCCCCGGTCGGACAATACCCTCCTTTTCAATCTCCGCTGCTGCTCCTTTCAGGCCACAGGGGCCATGTTAGCCCAGACTCGGCCCCAGCCCCTTCCGCATTCGGGAAGCTCACTAACCGCCCATTCAGGACAGCCAAATCATCCATCCGACGCCGCCGCCCTCCTCAAGACCTTTAACCAGCCGTAAGTATAGAATGTATGCTCGTATATGGTCCCGAGAGAGAGTACGATCCTGCACGAGAAGTTTAGGATGCTCAGGAAGGGCAGAAGAAGGTGGAAGGGGCTGGATTGCGAAGAGCAGACTTGGATACGCTTGTGGGCATAGTTCACTCACATATACTTTATTTCAAGATGCGGGATATTCTCAAGACTGAAGAGCTCGACATTCCAGAGGGCATTGAAGTCTCCGTCAAGTCCCGCCTCATTACTGTTACTGGCCCACGTGGTACTCTCAAGAAGAACGTCAGACACGCTGATGTCGACATCCGGCTGGTGAAAGGCAAGGTCAACCGGGTCACCCTGGCGGTCTGGCAAGGTGGCAGGAAGCATGTCGCTGTCCTTCGCACCCTTAGGAGTCTCATCAATAACATGATCATTGGTGTGACCAAGGTGCGCCTTCTTCGTTCTCACTCGGCTTGAAAGCTCGGCCAACTGCGTATCTCGCTTTGCAGGGCTTCCAGTACAAGATGCGTGCCGTCTACGCGCACTTTCCTATCAACTGCATCATCCAGGAGAGTGGCCGCAAGCTCGAGATCCGTAATTTCTTGGGCGAAAAGGTACGCAAAGCCAAAATCCAGAATAAGGAACTCCACTCCTTACTGGTCTCGGGTTAGCTCGTCCGACACGTTGACATGTTGGACGGCGTCACCGTCTCCGAGTCTAAGGCGCAAAAGGACGAGCTCATCCTTGAGGGCAACGACGTCCAGAATGTCTCGCAATCAGGTGCGTCCAATTCGCAATTCCGGCGAGTGACTCAATCTGACACCCGCAAAGCGGCTTCAATTCAGGGTATGTGCCTAGTGCGAAACAAGGATATCCGTAAATTCTTGGATGGTATCTACGTGTCCGAGAAGGCGACCGTTGTACAGCAGGAGTAACTTAATTGATACTCGCTCTCTATTATTCCCTGCCATCGGTGGTGCTGGTCCCTTTACTCTCTCCCTGCAGAAGTCTGCATGTCGCATGTCCCTACCACTATGTTTTCGCTATGACACGTCATGTTTGCACTCAAACGAGAACATTGAACCTGAGAAAAATAAAATCATTAAACTAGCCAAGCGTACAAGTAATGATTATGCACGATCAAGAATAACTAGCATGGCGGCCAGTGTACACTTCAACGCATGTAGGGGATCATAGTACCGACTCGCTGGCGATAGCGGAGATAATCCTGTCCAAAGAAGCGGATGAGGGCTTCTTCCTCGTCTTAGGTCGCGCGAGTCAGTGGGACAACTCTGTGCATCAAAACTTCACAACCTACATTTGATCCTCGAATTGAAGAATCGCCACAAAACCGCGCAGAAACCAAGGAAGCCGATGGGGTTTTGTAGCACAAGCTGGGTTCCGAGTGCCCAGTAGAAGAAACCAGCGTAGGACGGATGACGGAACCAGCTGTGTACGAGGTGTAGACTGCTCGGCCTGGGGTATGAATAATATTCACTTACGCATAGACCCCGTCTGTGACAAGCTGGTGAGACTCAGCCTTTCTGTAGGCAACCATGTGCGAAAAGTTGGTGGCTGCACGAATCATGGCAGTCGATCGAAGCACTTGGCCAAGCACCACGAGAATGACACCTGGTGGGAGAGCACCATAAACGGAGGCGAAGACGGTGTGGATGGATGTGGTGAGCATACCAATAGTTGTAATATAGGGGAAGCTCTTGAGTTCTGGCTTGAACCAGAGAGTCAGCAGGTATTCGGTAACTGCGAAACCATGGGCGATGTGATACATCCGCCCGTTCTCTAGAAGGAACGCTGTACATGCGAACAATTCAACATACAGAATGAGGCTGCAAACTGTCGCACTCACAGTCCACACTGCACTTCTCTCGGTTCCATCCAGCGGTCACTGCGAACTCGCCCCAGTGGAAAGCCGACCACGCAGCAAGAAAGAAGCCAAGCTGGCGAGTACACCACCAGGAGCTATATGGCGCAAAGACGGCTATAGAACTACCAGACAGGAAGATACATCCCAGAAGGAACGAAATGGTGGATGCGGCGAGCGGTGTATTCGGTATGCGACCGCCAAGGCGCATCGCAGCAGGTATCGGCCTGGTCTCTAGCGAGCTTATCGGGGCGGGGTTTTGACGGCGCCTTAGTACGTCTTCAGGCCCCTCGAACGAAGGCACGCCGTTAGGGGAATCCATGGCGGTGAGGCTGTAAGATGCATCGCAGACAATAAACTGTGCGGGAGACAAGAGGCGTTGTTTGGCCTTGTTAGCGGACGGCGGCACATCAGCTAGACGCCGGGGCGGGCCTTGTTTTGTCCTCGCACTTGCCTCGCACTCTGCGCTTTTGTGGCGTCTGCTCTGGCGGGCAATGTTCAGCAGCTGGCGGAAAGCTGCTAGGCTATCTCATCACTATGCCTGCCGTAGCTACGCGGCCGTAGCCCAGCACGACACGTCCAGGCTGCGGAACATGGCCCTTGTGGCACATATAGGTGCGTTCCACTTCCCACTTGGTTGCCTCAGGGACTCAGTCATGGCATAGATTCTGGGAAGACGACGCTCACGGAATCAATTCTGCTCAAATCCTCTTACCTTGTAGAAGCGGGCTCTGTAGACACCGGCAGTACAACCACCGATTTTCTTCCCGCAGAGCGTGAACGCGGTATCACCATTCAGTCTGCCAGTATCCCAGTGAAATGGAAGGACTGGACATTCAACCTTATCGATACCCCCGGACACGCAGACTTTGGCATGGAAGTAGAGAGCGCAAGCCGCGTCATTGACGGTGCTGTCGTCCTCATTGACTCGGTGGAAGGTGTAGAAGCTCAGACCAAAGGTGTATGGCGTCAGCTTGATAGGTGAGCAGAACATCTAGGTGAGGTTATAACGCGATCTTATACGGGCACTAATACTAAATTTATTACTCAGGTATGGCGTACGATCCAGGATAATGTTCTTGAACAAGCTTGACCGGCCCGGGTCGTCCTTCCGCTCATCTCTTCTCTCGCTACTTGCCCATCGTCTTCATCCCAAGCCGATGGCCTTAACACTCCCCGTTGCTTCCTTTGATACTGGGGATTACCAACGAGCCGAGCCCGGTATTCAAGGTTTGGTTGACTTGGTTCGCTGGGAAGTCTGGAGGTGGAATGCGAACGGCCACTACACCAAGCACGCTCTTCCCGCGGACGTGAATGAATTGCAAAGGACCGATATATTCCCTTCAGGTCACCCTATCTTGTCTCACCTTGTTCCGGCAAGAATGGCCCTTCTCGATAACTTGTCCATGTTTTCGGAGGAGCTTATGGAGACGCTCTTAAACTTGCCTTCGACTCCGTCCGCGTATCTTACTGTCACCGAAGATCAGATCCTACCAGAACTACGCGCGGCCACTCTGCGCAATGATATTCTTCCTGTGCTCTGTGGATCAGCGTTCAAGCACGTGGGGACCGATTTGGTTATGGACTACGTCGGGGCCTTGCTTCCTAGCCCTTTGGACGTCATGGATAAGGCACCTAAGCGTAACGAGCCACTACGTATGTTGGCGTGGAAGGTGGCATGGGATAAGCGCAAGGGCTGGATGACTTTCGTCCGTATCTACTCAGGTAAGTCCTGGTAGTCGTATCAGAGTTAGTCTAACAATGCTTTAGGTACGCTCAAGCCACAGTCAAACATCTGGAATGCTACTCGTAACCAGCGAGAGAAAATCTCCAAACTTATACTCCTCTACGCGTCTCGACACGAGGAGGTAGACTCTTTACCGGTCGGTAGCGTGGGTGTCATTTTGGGCTGCAGATACACTCGCACTGGAGATACTCTGGTCGCCTCCACGAATGACGCGGAGGGCGGTGCCTTGCCCAACATCATACCACCTGCGCCGGTCATGTCCACCTCCGTAATACCTCAGTCTCATGCGGATCTGCAGCCTGTACAGGACGCTCTGCAATCGCTTATGCGTACGGACCCGTCGGTCCGCATCGAGTCTCAGGAAGGCCAGATCCTGGTCCATGGTCTGGGCTCGCTGCACCTGGAAATTATTGAGTCTCGTCTCCGAGACGAATGGAACGTGCAATTTGAATTCGGCAAGAGGAGAGTCGGCTACCGCGAGGGTGTCTCGCCAGCTATCAGCACCGTCGGTGCTCCTGATCCGTGGAGGACCGACATCGGTGGCAAACACATTGAGGTGTCGCTCGACTTGGATCTCCGTCCACTAGAAGAGGATGAGCAAGGCAACCCTCTGTGGGACGGCAATGTCGTCTTGGACAAGAACGGTAAACCGTTACCTCCCCCCGAGTCCTTCGCCAACCAGCTTGATCCGATGGCCAACGTCGCGCAGGGCCTATCGAACTCGCTGTCTAGTTCTCCACACACTGCGCTCCCCATTTCGCGCCTCCGCATCCAGGTTAGAAGCTACCGCTATCCGCTGGATGTTTCTTCATCCGTACTCGCTGGCGGAAGCGCCGTTATATTGCGCGGATACCTCAAGCGTGCAGGCATGGGCCCGCTTATGGAGCCGTTTATCAGACTCAAGGTTACAGTAAATGAGGAAACACTAGGCAAAGCTGTCAAGGACTTGACTGAGCATGGCGGTGAGGTGCTGGACCTTGCAGAGAGCTCTGTCGGCGTCAGTGAAAGCGACCAGGAAGTCGAACCCTATCCCGACGACGGCGTGTACGTCCCGCCAGAAGTGTTTTCTCCGTCTGCGAGCTCGACAAAAGGCGGCTCCTCGGCGTCAATGAGGCGTGCTGTCCATGCCGTTGCACCTCTTAGCCAGATGCTCAACTTTTCGAACCGCTTGCGCGCGCTGTCTGGAGGACACGGGCTGTTCGAGATGGAGAATGCAGGCTTCAAGCAGGTGTCTGAAACAAGGAAGCTCGAGATTCTTAAGGAGATGGGACGTGCTTAAGAGGTCCATGCATGCATAGTAGTTCCTGTACTTGTACTTGACAATATACTTGCATAACTTCACATACCCTTGGCCTCGTCTGCATCTCCCAAGAACACCGCGCCCTCGATCTCATCGTCATCTTCGGCAGCGCCAGTAGCATAATCTCCCACAGACTTCAAGATCTGGCTAAACGCCAGCATCCCGCCGTCCGCTTCGTCTTCGTCTTCGTCATCCGCAGCAGCAGGTGCGTCTTCGTGGAAGAGCGGCACCGGCGGACGCTCGCGCTGCCACGGCGCAGACGTGACGCTCCGCTCGCGGTCATCCTCCGGCAGGAAAAGCGGCGTCCGGGCACGCTGACCGCTCACGACGAAGTCCGCCGGCGCAATGCTCGGAGCGCGCGGGGCGACGAGGCCTGTTGGAGCGAGTGACATTGCGCGCGGGGCTTTGTGAAGCGGTGGGTACGGCTCGACGATCACACAGAGGGCGCGTCCTCTGATGGAGAAGCCTTGATAACGCAGCTTCATGACTGGCTTCGGCTTGTCTTCTTCGGTATCTGAGGCTACTAGGATCGCGTCCTCGGGATGTGGAGGCGATTCGGGGCTTTGCGGTGGCTCTTCGTCGACACGAATAGGCTCATCTGGATTTGAGGGGAGCACAGGTTCTGTTTGCTCTGCTTTGACTTCGATGGGGGATGCTATATCATCCGTCGGGTCCATGCTGACAAGCTCTGCATCGTCAAGTTCGGGAGCGCGAAGATCAGAAGCGGGTGGCACGGTATCAGAGTTCTCAGGAGCAGCCATCTCTATGTCTACATCGGCCGCTCCTGCACCTTCTGTGTCGCCCTCAACGTCGTCTTCACGGTATCCGCCAGCAACTAGTCTCCGCGTCCGAGCAGATCTTCGCGGCAGTAAATTCGCTGGCTGAAACCCAGCACCTTCGCCTTTATTATCTGAGTCGCTACTCAGAGAAACGGCTTCCTCTTCGTTGTCCAAGTCGATAGCCCGTTGTTTGCCTTTGCCCCTGTCCTTGGCGGTATTGCGTTTCTTCCTGGCAGGCGCGTACTGCTGGCTCTTCTTCGTGGATTTGGCACGCTTATGAATGTTCGTGGCTGGTCCATTCTCAGAGTCCTCTGATATGTGCTGAGGAGCCCGCTTCTTCTCTCTAGGAGGTGCAGCAGTGAAACGTCGTGTCTACGATATCATTAACTCAGCATGAGCACACCACAGTGCCGAGAAGTTCTGACCTTGATCAATACAGAATGCGGTTCCGTATTCCGCAAGAAGTACCCAAATTGATATGTCTCTACCTTGGCCGTGAGAAATAGATCATGTCCTCGAGGACGCGTAGCTTACGTCCACGATGGACATCTAGAGTTCCTTTCTTGGCGTTTCCTGAACCACCTAGCCCCAGATGAGCACTCTCTTCGGAGATAAGCTTCGGTATGACTCTACAGCCAGCATGTGTCAGGAGTCAGGACATGGAGAATGAGCACAAGGGTTGACTCACAGAGGCCTTAAGTCTGCGAGCACATGTTGTAGGACGCGTTCAGACATCCACTCGACATGTTGCTCGTCAAGATACAACTAGATAAATTTGATTTTAGGCATGAGCCTGAAGTTATCTACGTTGTGACCCATGCAAACTCACATATAATGGGAGAACGGTGTTTTCAGAAACACGTAAGTAGTATGCGTTCCGAGTGTTGAACTTCATGGCTCAGCGTATGAGTCTTATATTACAGACCTAGCACTTGATTCCTGTTACACAATCAGAGTATCTCGCCTCTTCATTAGTTAGTAGGCTTACGGTCAATGGTCTGGCAGTGGTCGAGCTAGAGGCGAAGCGGGTAAGCGCCCAGCTGGTCGGTCGTTGTTGTGGCCTATTTGGCGCGACCTGGCGCGAATAAAATATCGAGTCGGTTCGCTTTGCGCCTTGTCCACGACAGTCCAAAAACCGCGACGCTCGTTCCGTACAAGGCGCTTTGACGCGTCCAAATTCGCGAGCGGGTTAAGGTCTGAGGATTACATATCCCTCTCGATCGACTCTAGCCGGGTCTTACCGGTGTCCAAACGAAACGACGTACCAGAAACACGGCTGGCTTGCTCTCGAATGGCGAAGACTCCCGTACCGTGGACGAGTCTATCGAGCCTCGCTCTCGCCGGGCCTAGGAGCCAAGGTTGTTCTCGCAACGTAGCCTTTAAAACGTCGTAGGGATTGGGGAGGCCAAGCGTACGTTGCTCCACACATCTTTCTCATTCTGTGCCCTTTTGGGCTGGCGGGGGCACATCTCGGGCCATGCTGTTGCGCTATTGAAGCGGCACGCTGGCTGTCGTAGTCAGAAGCACTGTCGTAGTAAATATGCTCACAGGGCGAGCTGCGGCATGTAGTCTTCAGGAATAGTGAGGATGATGTTACGTGAAACTCCATTACTATGTCTCCCCTTCAGTGCACTTCGCGGTCTCCGGAACTTAGTCCCGGGGAACTCGATTCAGACTACTCTTGGGTTGTCGTCACAAGCATGAATTTTCCCCCGTCCGCGTTGCGTTTCGTTGCGCTATTCTCTGACCGTTGATCTGTAACTTCTGCATCACGCATTTAAATGCAGTTATCTTGCCTTCAATGACCCGTCCCCTGACAGAGATAACTTAGAAGGTGAAGGATCTAGTCGAGAACGTCTGAGAGTGGCACCGCTCCCGAGCGGAGAATTTCCGGGGTATCCGGAGGAGAGTTAGGGGAGGGATTTCCGTATAGGAGAAAGAATTACACGCAAATGAAGAGCATCACGGGGGCCGCCTCGCGCCCTAAACCGCAGGCGTTGCACGCGTCGCTACCTCGTTCATGGTCCCGTGCGTCGCTCGGGGAGCCGGCAGATATACACTAGCTGATTTTCCGTGTCGCGTTCAGAGTTACGGGTTCAAAGGCAAGACCGGACGTCAATCAGGATACAGACACCGAGCGAGCGATGGGAGCATTTGACCAATCGACGGGCGAACGAAACCTCGGCAGGCTCCTATCGCCACATCGATGGTCAAGTTCCAACCGCAGTCTCTGGCTTAACGAGCTTTGTCTAGAACAGCAGTGCTTCACCAGGGATCATGGGGACGCCCCTTCTCTCCCGGTCCGGCCGAGACCGTCGTACATCTTCAAATAGAGCCCCTCGACTCGCACACAGCCCACCCCACCTTGTCGAGCAGAAACCATGTCCAACAACCCGTCCTTCGTCCTTCAGGCCGTCGAGCGCGTCGAGTTCGAGGAGCGCCCTATCCCCGACAGTGCGTCCCGTGCTGTGCTGTGATGTCATCCGCGAGTGCTGATCCGTGAGACTGCTGCAGTCCGCGACACTGAGGTTCTCGTCGAGGTCAAGAAGACCGGTGAGTACTGCGACAGTCATGCGATGCAACTAAACGCTAATATCTGACCGTGCAGGTATCTGCGGTTCCGATGTATGTGCATCTATATAAGCACCTGATGAGAGGCAGCAGATTCTTACCCCACTGCCCCATCTAGGTGCACTATCTCGTTCATGGCCGCATCGGCGACTTCATTGTCGAAAAACCCATGGTTCTCGGCCATGAGTCCTCTGGTATCGTCTACAAGGGTAAGGACCCACTCCAGGTTTCGTCCAGAACGTGAGGGTCTAATACGCGTGTTGGTCTTTCCAGTCGGCAATAAAGTGAAGCACCTCCAGCCTGGTGACCGTGTCGCGATGGAACCCGGCGCGACCTGCCGCGTCTGCGAGGACTGCAAGAGGGGTCGCTATGAGGTGAGGGCACAGCACTGGTTTTACGCGTCAACTTAGCAGATTGTTCCGTCCAGCTTTGCCCGGACATCGTCTTCGCCGCGACTCCTCCCTATGATGGCACCCTTTGCCGCTACTACCCGATTCCTGGGGACCTGTGCTACAAGCTCCCGGATAACTTGACTCTTGAGGATGGCGCCATGGTAAGTTCTCAGCTTTCGAACTGGCGTAGGCCAGATCTCATTGTTTTCTCCAGATGGAGCCCCTTTCCGTCGGTACACACTCAGTTGCAAACATTGGCAACCTCAAGGCGCAGGAAAATATCGTCGTGTTCGGCGCTGGTCCTGTCGGTCTGCTTTGCATGGCTGTAGCCAAGGCTCTTGGTGCTCGCCGTATCATTGCGGTCGACATCCTATCTTCTCGCCTCGAGTTCGCCAAGTCATATGCGGCCACCGATGTATACCTCCCGCCAAAGCCAAACGAGGGCGAGTCGAAGATCCAGTACTCTGAGCGGAACGCGAAGACGATGCAGGAGCAGCTTGGTATCGAGCTACGGGGCAGAAGTGCGATTGACTTGGTTGTTGACGCTTCTGGTGCCGAGGCGTCGATACAGACCGGTATCCTCATCGCACGTCACGGCGGCAGATATGTACAGGTATGACTGATTGACCCGAAACCGTGGTATAGAAACTGACGCCCCACTTTCTGCGATTCATAGGTCGGTATGGGTGCTCCCAACGTTACCCTCCCGATTACCACTGCGCTCGTGAAGGAGTTGGCTATCAAAGGCTCTTTCCGCTATGGAGTGAGCAATTGCTTAGATATCCATGTACCGTGTCTCAACCACTATCATGTCACAGCCCGACGACTATGCGCTCGCTATTGCCTTGGCCGCTGCGGGCAAGATCGACTTGAAGCCTCTCATTACCCACCGCTTCAAGTTCGAGGAGGCGAAAGAGGCGTTCCAGGCTAACAGAGTAGGCAAAGGCGCAGATGGCAAGGCTGTCATCAAGGCCGTTATCTCTGGTCCCGATGTCTCACCCGAGGATCACTGAGCGCCAGACTCTGGATGTCTTCTGCCGAATGGAATCGGATCCAGGACTCATTGGCGCGGACTCTTACATTGGAAGCAATAGTGCTTGGCAGGAGGGAAGAGGGACATGTATGATTATTATTATATAGCGTGTACGTCTAAAAGATGATGCAATTGAACTGGATAGTGTCAAGTGAGCATCTCGGTGTCGGTTCACAGGAAGCTCGCAGCGGCGGGTACGCTCTCACGCGCACGGCAGACCTGGCACGATCCGAATCCGAGAGACGCGTCTTTACGATGAGCGATACAGTACACCGCCAACTTGCACTCGGAGACCAGACAGACGGGCGCTTTGTGGGTGAGCCACATGTGCATGCGGGTGCATCGCAGACGTCAGACATTCATGGTGCAGGTGTCTCATTTGTCTGCGTTCCGTATGTTTAGTACATGTGCTGCATATTCAACACACATGCAATGCAAATGAGTTTTCAGGAGCGAGAGGGCTGCGGCAGGCGTTTATTATGGGCCCTCTTTTTCGTGGAATTCATTGGTGTTTCGCAACTGTCGGCTATCTTTCCCATATATTTTGAGGCTTCGCAAAGTGAGCTTGGCAGCTGGAGCCATGACAGTCAAATATCAGTGCAATTGGTGAGGATAATTTTTTGCGTTCCTGAAGAGGAGTCGTCGTCACCGAGATGTCTTGGATGGCCTGCGGGACCTGAATTTTGATAAAGACTTGTGCATGGGTCAGTGGCCTCAGAACCTGACCCAAACCACATCCCCCACAGCTCATGGCACCCACACTAAGCACCCTCAACGACGAATTTGCTGAATTTGCTGAGAGAGGCCCCGGCTCGGTACACTCGTCTTCTGATCTGACTGCCTCAACCAGAAAACGGCGTGAACGAGACGATGATGAGTATAGCGGTGACGACCTCAGCAATGACCCTCTTCACCTTGATCAATCCGATCCTGACTCACGATCCACCACTGCGCCTCCTGACCCAGCCTCGACAAGAATTCAACCTAACCGAAACTACACAGAGTACGCGAAGCAGCTGGGCGCCAGAAAATGACTTCGCACAGAGAAGTTAGGAGAACTTGTGCAGTTCATATCA